TTTGAGAGAAACTGCTTTTCGGGGAGCTGTTCGTGAGAGACTGGGCCCTACAAACCCAACATTATTTCATGTGCAAATTTTGCAAGGAAAAGGACATGCCTCTGCGGTCGGCCTGCACCCCGGTTCCGAGAGTCATTTTCGCCGCACCTAGACGCCGCGTGAGTGCGAGAGAGACAGAGTGCCCACGTGGCCGCATCGCCGCATCCCGGCGCGCGCTCTGGCTGCCTCTGGCTGCTCTGACGCACGGAGCAGCCCCCCCCCTCCCTCCACGTGCGAACGCGGGCCCTTAGCGACACGTGGCACACTGTAGGGACGCGAAGCGCGAAACGCGACGCGCGAACTCCATCCATCATGCTCCTTTCACCCGCCACTTTCACCGCGCGGCGGCCTTCACCAGCTCCGTCTTCACCAGGTCGTCTGGTCAAACAGTGGCGCAGAGAGCAAGCTGCGCTTTTGCCGCCTTTGCCCCTTTGATCGATACGCCGCGTGTTTAACTAACACCCCCTCGCTTTCCTCAAAACATTCCTTCCCCCTCCCTCCCTCCTTCCCGTGTGCCGTCTAGCAGCTGGGGGTGTATCCCACTTGCCCCGATTTCCGGCTGCAGTGACGATCGATGCCGGGGCACCCCCCCCCCTCCACCCTCGGGGGTGGGGGCGGGATGGCTCGGTGACTCACAGCAGGCCTTCCTGGAAAAGAAGCCCGGCCGGCCGGCCGCCCGGCGCAGCGCAGCAAGGGTGCACGCCGGCCAGGGAAGCCCAGGGAAGCCCGCGCGACACACGCCAGCCAGCCAGCCAGCCAGCCCCCCACTGCGGAGTGGCAAGCAAGCGGCAGTGGATTTGCCAGAAGACCGGCGCAGGCGGCCGAAACACTAGACGCGTTTTGAGCTCCAGAGTCGCAGAACAGGACTCGAACCGAACGTGTGACCCCACCAATGGATTGCTCTCCGAACAGGGATTGGTGGGGCCACACGCACTCTGTCCAGCTTAGCTCTGCTCATGAACCCCCCGCCTCACGCGCGCAGCCACGGCACAGCCACGGCACAGCCCTGCCTCGCCCCTGCCTGAGTTCTCGCCTCTCGGTTTGTAGGTCACCTGCAGGGGTGGCTCTGGCCCCGCTGGCCCCGCTGGCCCCGCAGGCACGGTCGTCCGACCCATCACAGTCCGCATCGCCCGCTCCGCTCCGGGTGAGGTGAGCTCCATCTCTCTCTCCCTCTCTTTCCCCCGCGGCGGAAAACCGCCGGAGTGGAAAACCTCAGAATAAACCGCGGCGCGTTTGGAAGTTTGAAAACACGGACACACTTTGAGCGGAACAAGAGGACGCCGCCGTCGGGCGGGCCAGGCCGTCGGACCGTCTCGTTGGAGATGGGCGTCCCATTCCAGCGGAGGACTCTCGCGGCCCGCCCCGCCCCGCCCCGCCCCGCCACTCGCGGAATGTAGGTCACTGGCTGCACTAGGCCAGGAGGCTAGCCAGACCCACCAGCCCGTAGAGGAGCCGCGCGGAGGGGCCCTCGCCGGGGAAGGGGGAAGGGGGAGGGGCACTGCGGATCGGCGCGTCCTGTCCGCAGAACGAGCGAGACAGAGAGAGACGCTCGCCCGGCCCGGCCGGCCTAAAAGGCAGAGGGGGCGAGGACGGGCGAGGAGGTGTGACATGGCGTGCTGGAGCAGACCGATTCAGTCTCCCTCGCACCTGAACGGACCGCCACGTTCGCGAGAGGGAGAGAGCGAGACAGAGAAAGCGCCGTTCGGATTGGCTCTGCAGAGTGGAGACTGCCTCCTCGAGCGCTCTCGGCTGGACAGGCTGGACCAGAGATGCTCGAGACGGGGACTCATCGCTGGGATGAGAATGAGACCCCAAGTAAAACTTGCAAAATGGCGCTGCCGCCGCCCTGCCGCCCGCGAGGCCGCCTTCGGTGTGTCGGGGGCGGCACAGCAGTGCGGGGGCGGCGCGGGGGCGGGGTGGCGGCTGACCTATATTCCAGTAAGTACGCAGCGGGGGCGGCGTGGGGCGGCTCCAACCCTCCGCCCCTTGGTCTCCTTTGCTCTCTGCAGCGCTCAAACAACGCGCAACATTGCTTGGATCTGGGTCGCGGGGCGGCGCGCGGCGGGGCGGGGCGCTGGGGTTGAACCCGGCCAGATTACATTATGGCCAGCCCCTGCTAGGTAGGCAAGCCGAGGCAAGCGGACAGGCAGGCACCGGGGACGGGCTGTGTGTCCGATCACCCCACGGGGCTAGCGGACGAGACTCCGGTGCACTCCGGTGCGCCCCGGAGAGTTTGTCCGACACCCCCATTATATACACACACGGACACTGAGTGAGAGAACGGCGAGAGAGAGCGCGGCGGAGGGGGTAGCCGCCCCTACTGCCGCCAGTGCAGTAGTACAGGGCCCTATCGACCAGGCGGCCGCGGGGGGCTGTGGGGGCTGTGGGGGCTGGACCCGCTAGCGCTGCCGGCCCGGTGGGGGTGGGTGGAGCCCTCGGTGGAGCCGGCCGGTGCGGCGCGTACTCGCTCGCGCCATGCTCCTCACGTGCTCGCGCCCCTCGCGCCCCTCGCGGGGCCCGCAGGCCGGCAGGCCGTGGGGCCTACACCGCAAAACGACGGTGGCAGTGCAGGCGCTGCGCCACTGTTGCGCGCGGAGCAAGGTGCAGCGCATCCAGCACGGAAACGTGTGACCCCACCAATGGATTCCTCGTTCGGAGAGCAGTCCATTGGTGGGGTCACACGTTCGGTTCGAGTCCCATTCAGCGACTCTGGAGCTCAAAACGCGTCCAGAGTTTTGGCCTGGCCGCCTCCACCGGTCTTCTGGCCCAGTGCGTCCCCCTGTTTGCATTTTACAGTGAAGCCATCCCGCCTTATCGAGACACCTTTTATTTTGCCCGTGGCCGAGCCTGGCTGTGGCCGTGCCTGGCTGTGCCTGGCCGCGCCGCACCGCTGCGTCATGCGAGGCCCGTCTCCGCCAGATAAGCTCGCTGCATTGCCCAGCGTTGCCTCCGGACCGCCGCGCTGTCTCCCTCGCGCCTCAGCGGGAAGCCCCACGAGTGCGAGAGAGCCGGCGACCGACTGCAGCAGCGAATCGCCAGCGGCTCAGCAAAACTTTCTGACGAAAGCGTGCTTTCGTTTTCCTGCTGCGCGACCATTCCAATGCGGCCGTCATCGGGTGGGCCGAGAGTGCGGCAGAGACAGATTGCGACAAATTGGATACGTAGTCTCACCTGACCCAACCTAACCCAACCCACCCTTTGCAGTGTGGCGACTCTTTGTTTCTTGCGGACGCAGCGCGCGCGTGCCTGTAGCGTTTTGCACGGGCGGATAGGAACCCGACTCGATAGCGCAGTGTGTACACTTGGTATCTGCCAATCGGGAGGCCCCGGGTTCAATTCCGACCGAGGGGCCGTTCCTCTGGTGCTCCGATGTCGACCTCATTTAACTTCCGAATCCAGAATATGATGCTGCGAACGATGATGTTGAATAACCACGACTCGGCCAGTCGTTCCAATCGCCAAGGGTTTTCTTTTCGTTGTTTTCTGCTTCGTTTTCGCGCCGAGTGAGTACACGGAATTGCCGGTGACGTGTCCGCCAACTCATTTGCCTGGGGCTCCGTTTCTCTCGCACTGCCCGCACCCATGGGGCGTCCCTTGCGGGTGCGACAGAGACAGGCTCTGTGGCTGTACCGGTGGCCGCGTCGTCACCGCGTGGTCCGCGTGCCGCTGGAGGCGCAGATTCCGCTGCACAGTGGGCCGGAAGACCGGTGGAGGCGGCAAAAACTCGAGATCTCCAGAGTCGCTGAATGGGACTCGAACTGAACGTGTGACCCCACCAATGGACTGCTCTCCGAACGAGGAATCCATCGGTGGGGTCACACGTTCGGTTCGAGTCCCATTCAGCGACTCTGGAGCTCAAAACGCGTCTGGAGTTTTGGCCGCCTCCACCGGTCTTCTGGCCCACTGTGCAAAGTTCCTCACTGACAACGGGTCCGCACCGTTCTGTCTCTGTCGCACTCGGGGTGCGAGAGAGACAGAGAACGCCGCAGAGGCGCGAAACAGTCGCGGAACGCAACGCGGCGTTAACCTCACAATCAGAGAAAGCGAGACGAGGCGATTCGATGCATGAATGAACGCGGCGACGCGGCGACGCGGCGCGGGGAGAGAGAGACAGAGCGAGCCGCCATGCCGCCATTCACCGAGGCCGCCCCGCCGCCCCGCCGCACCCACATGGTGGACACGCGGAGCTACGCGGAGCGCGGCGCTCGGAGGAGAGGAGGGGCAGGATGGCGTCGGCAGGATGCAGCGATGCACCGGCAGCGGCGGCAGCAGACGCCCCCGAGCTGCAGGGACTGCACCGACTGCACCGCGGCGCGGGAGGGGAGGGGGAAGCAGTACTTGGCAGGGCTTGGCTCTAGGCTTGGCGGGGTCCCGCGGGATGACGGGGACCGGGATTCCAGGAGGGCCGCCGTGCACAGCGCTACGCCGCTACGCTCTCCCCTCCGTCGCCGCCCCTCCGCCCGCTCCGCCCCGCCCCGCCGGCGTCCGGGGAACGGATGCGACCTCTCCGACCTCTCCGTCGCACTCGTTGGGGGCGACAAGGACGCGGCGCGCTTCCGAGTCCATCCGCGGCCCGCCGCCGTCTGCCCGTCTACAGTGGCGTGGAGGGGGTGCACGTGCTGCCGCCGCCGCTTCGCTGGGTCCCCAGTGCGGTGTGGGGCTGGGGCAGGCTGGGGCAGGCTGGGGCCGCGGGGTTCACAAGGCCGCGTGCACGGGCTCACAGGCTGCTGCTGCTGCCGCCGCTGCTGCTGCGCCAGGGCGAGGGGGAGGGCGGGGCGGTGGAGGGGGGCGGAGACGCGGTGGAGGGGGCAACGGGCGGCGGCGGGGCGGCTGCCAGCAGGCCGTGGCCGTAGGCAACCCGTACGAGTCAGTGATCTGAGCTCCGCGAGCCAAGCTCCTCGGTACGTTCTGTTCTACGTTCGAGTGGCGTTGTGAGGCAGTGTACTATTTGCAGTTCTTCTAGTTTCCCTGAATGCGTTCCGTGTGATCGGTGCTGCCGGTGTGATCGTCCGTGTGTTGTGGTCGCTGTGCCGTCGGCGTCGTCCGGGATTAGCGGCGTCGCTCGAGACAGCCGCCGGACCCTCGGCCTGGAGGCTTGGTGCCGTACCGTTACCATTGTCTACGTGGTTTCCTCGTCGTGGACGTGGGTCCGGAGCGTTCCCGGCGTTCGGCGAGCGCCCTGGAGCCCTGGCCGACGAGCCGCGGGACGGCGAGGCACGCCCGGACGCCCGGCCTCGGCTTTCCTCACGTTTCGACACTTTTGTTCAAAGTCCGAAAGTGGCCCGGTGCGGTGTGAGTGTGAGGCTCTGCGCTGGAAAGCTGCATAATGGGACCAGAGCGTGGATTGCAGCCCCCAGATCTGGGTCGGGCCGACCGGGGCGACCTGGCTGAGCCGCGGGATGCACGCTGCATGTGTGACTGTGACGTGCCCCCCTGCCCTGACTCGGAGGACACCGTCGCGTCATGTGAAGCTTGGCATTTTCCTGGCCGACCTAACCCTAAAATTTTTGCCCGCGGCGCGGGGTATCGACTGCTATCGGGATAGCCAGAGATTCCCAGTGCGGTGCCTTGCCCGGCGGGGTGCGTGGTCCTGTCTGAAATTGCTGCGTCGTTTCGCCCCGCTGAATGGAAACCCTCGCGGCTTGAAGGAGCTCGCTCTGTTCATCCAAGATGGCGGCGGTCTGTTTCCAAAGCCCGATCCCCGCCTCGCCTTCGCGCTCGCAGCTATCTGTCTGGAAATGGGCTGGCTCCGTTGATGCGGCGTTCTGTCTGCGTTTTCTCCTTTGCCAGTGACTTTGTGAATCCCGCCAACAGCTGCCTCGCCTCGCGAAGTCCGCAGTCGAGGGGGTACCCATTTCACGACCAAGGCTTGGTACAGATTTTTGAGGGTATTGACCTTCGCGGTATCAGAGTGGTTTTAACGGTGCTTCTCCTCCGGGCCTGCCTCTCTGCGCTCCGGTCTGCCTTTGCTGTTCGCTCTTCTGTTTGCATCGGTCAATCTGAAGCTGAAATCCACGTTTGTCAGTGTGGGAGCTAGTTTTCCCCGGGGCTCGCATCCAGCCCGGCAACGGCCGAGGTGCATTGTGGAATGTCGGGGCCGTCGGGGCGTAGAGGTCCAAGGCTACAGTTTTCAGTGTCATTGTCGCGGCACTTCGCAGCCTGGCGCAGCCCGAGAGAGTCATTGTTGTCATCACTTTTGTTGTTGTTCTTTTGTCACACTTGCTCTTCAGTTGTTGGTTCATATTTACTTCTACTTAATTAATGTACCTAAATTTTTTGATATGGTGATAATTTCTATTAATGCATAAACTCATACATTGTCAGTTTTTCCCATGTATGTATGATTTGTACTCACTTGCTCGAAGGCTGATCTCTTCAGGCGCATGCCTTTCATCATAGTGCGTAATACTGCATGAGCTTTCCAATACTTTGTAGCACTTACAGTGAGTTTCTGTTTCAGCTCCCACACCCTTGAGTAGGAGAGGAGATAGCAGTTTATCGTGGTGGGGGCACACAAACTCTCAACAACGGACGGCCCCAGGGGACCGGGGGGCGCTTCACGTGTCTCAGGAGGAAGGTAGGTTGTCACAATCTTTCCTTTTGTTAGAAGCATGCTCATGTGCAAATCGCACTTGTCAAGTTTTTCTTTTTATTGTGTTGCCTGGGTATGCCCTCTGCTGTGAAATCCACTCCTGAACTGACTTTGGCCTTTAGTAGCCTATTGTCAATTGTAGTAATGTATGCTCCCTTTGTTTAAACTTGAATTAACACAACTTGAGCTTTGTAGTTTGGCTACAGAGAGCTTCTTCTTTGTTGCTCACTAGATAATGCTGAATGTCATTTCACTCTTTTGAATCCTTTGTTTGGCTGTTGTTGGCAGTATTGTTCAGAAAATCGCTGTGGAAGTAGGATTCGTTCTGCTGTGGGAGGCGTGAGTTTTAATCATTGATTTCAACAACTTGATCCTCAATAGAAGTTGGATGTAAGTTCTCTATTGGTGACAGCCTCAGGCTGTTAGGTCTCCCAATCTGACAGAACACCTTGCACAGGCTGTGAATGCTTTGTGTTGCTAGATTTATTTTTTAATATGCTATCATTGTAGTATCTTATGTTAGTGCATCTTCATTTTAAGTTACTATAAAACATTCTTTGTCAAATATGGCTGTGCTTAACTTGCTCCTTTGTATTGTTTCAGGGACGACACTCGCTCCCTGATCACAAAGCGACGCTGGATCCCCCCTTCTACAATCAGACGCGATGATGCACTCACCCAGGAAACAAAGAATGACCTCCTATTCAGGAAGGTTAGTTTGAAGGAAACGTTCGTCCTGACAGGCTAGTTAGTATTTTTTCTTTACTCTAACTGATCTCTATTTGAACTTCTAGGTCCGAGGAATACTCAACAAACTCACACCGGAAAAATTCCAGAAGTTGAGTGATGATCTCTTAGCGATACAGCTTGACACCAATACCATCTTAAAAGGTGTTATTCTGCTGGTGAGTGTTGGCTTTGTTCTCGTTCATTACCCTATTTCATTCAATTTGTTTCTTAATTCATTATTACCTGATTATCTCTATCTTACAGATCTTCGAGAAAGCACTCGATGAACCGAAGTACAGTTCTATGTATGCACAGCTGTGCAAGCGGCTAACAGAAGAAGCTCCAAACTTTGAACCTGTTGGCAAGCCTTGCACATTTAAACTACTTCTGCTAAACAAGTGTCGTACTGAGTTTGAAAATCGTGCCCAAGCTACCAAAGCCTTTGAGAAAAATGACGGGATACCACTTACCACAGATGAGGAGGAGAAGCGCCAGTTGGCGAAGCGCAAAATGCTGGGAAACATCAAAGTAAGTGTCTGGGTTACTTGTTGATCTAATGTTTGTCATTGGTTATGACTTTGTGCTTATTTTGTGTCCCTCTGTTTCAGTTCATTGGAGAATTGGGCAAACTTAATATCTTGGCGGAGAGGGTCCTCCACGAGTGCATTCAACAACTTTTACTGGACAGCAAGAAGAAAGTCGTCCATGAGGCGGCCGAGGATTTGGAATGCCTCAGTCAGATAATGTGCACTTGTGGGAGACTTCTGGATTCTGATATGGCTAGGGGGCTGATGGATCAGTACTTTAGCCGTATGAAAGTACTAGCTGAGAACCCGGACTTGCCGCGCCGAATTCGCTTCATGCTACGTGATGTGATTGAGCTGCGGGGCAACAACTGGGTACCCCGGAAGGCTGCTACTGTGGAGGGTCCAATGCCCATGCATCAAATCCGTGATGACTCAGACCCACCTTCGCGCAGCTACACTCCCCCAAGTCGCGGGGGTGACGGGGTTGGTCGCAGTGGTGGAGGCGGTGGCCTAGTGTCAAGTATGGGAATGATGGACCAGTTCCGTCCTCCCAATAAGATGCGCCAAGGTGGCTTTGACGACTTAGGCTATGGCTACCCGTCGGTCGGCGGGCCAAATCAACCCATGATCTCTTCAAGGTACGGAAACGGTTATTCTGGAAGAGATGGTGGGAGGGATGGACACCACAACAACAACCGCGGCAACTTCAGAGGGCAGAATTTCCAAAACCATGGGAAGAATTACAACCATCACAACAATCATAACAATTTCAACAACAACTCTGTGAAGGAACTTGGTCCTCGTTTGAAGAAGATGATGAATGAAACTGAAAACACCAACATTGAAGAGGTTCAACTTCGTCCAAGTGCCAACTCCATGTTTTTCAAACAGGCGGCTACCAAGCCGATGCTCAATCCCCGCTCTGGTCTGGGTCCACCACCAGGCCGAGGCATCAATTTGAGTGATCAGATCAATGCACCCAAACCCCATACTCCTTTGCAGTTGCAAAAAGAACAACCCATCCTCATCAAGCAAGCTTCTCAAGATAAGAACAAGAATGCCAAGAAAGACAAGGGTCCAAACAAGGAAGAAGTTCTGAAGAAAGTCAACACCATGGTGGAAGAATTCTTGAAAAACAACAATTTGGATGAGGCCCTCAGTGCCTACAGAGAGCATAAGATACCTGACAAATTTGTCGTTGCTGTTCTTCATACTATTCTTGCCCATGAAGTGGACAAATCTGGTGAGTTATCGTACTTATATTATCCTGTTTCAGTCAAGTGATAATTTTCTTGTTGATTTCTAATGGATTAATTTGATTTCAGACAAGGAAAGGGAGCAAGTGTTGAGTCTTGTTCAGTCCCTTCGGAAGGAGAGCTTAGTAACATTACATCAATTTAACGAGGCTTTCAAGGAGCTTGTTACTCAGATGTCTGAAAAGGAGCAAGAAATTCCTCGCATTTTCTCACACCTGGCTAACTATGCAGCAAGATCGGTTATCCTGGAGCTCATGACACTCTCAGATGTAGCAGAGGTGACTGAAGGAGGGTCAAATTACCCTCTCTTCATGCTTACCCTGCAAACATTAAACAAGGAAATGGGAAAGGCGGAACTCACTAAATTTTTCAATGACAGCAAGGTAAGGACTACTGATATGCATATTTTTTTTCACCTTTGTGTACCTTTTGGACGCTATTTTAATGGATAACATTGATTTCAGATCAACTTGATGTCTACATTGCCGGAAGTGGACCGTACTAAGGAGCGCATGTCTGAAATTTTGGAAGAAAGGGGTCTGACTTTCCTGTTCCCTCTGCTGCGCATTCAATCTGCACTTTGGAAACAAATTGAAGCTGATCCTAATCCAACACAGTTCTATAAGTGGATCAAAGAGACTCTGGACCCTTCCCATCAGTCCGATTCTGGTTTCATCAATGCACTCATGACTGTTCTCCTGAAATACATCTCTCAGGTTGGTGTAGGATTATTCCTTCAAGATATGTGGGAAGAGGCCATTTATTTTGGGCACTCGTATAGTTTATGTGACTTAAAAATTGTGTCTGTTTCAGGAGTCTACCCTTGCTGAGGGTTGTGATCCAAATGTAGTGCCGGACAAAGTCTTACAAGAGAAAGAGAAAGCTTTGTTGGAAAAGTACAAACTGGTCCTGAAAGCTTTCTTGCATGATCATTTGGACTTGCAGGTCACTGCTGTCTACTCCCTGCAAGTCTTCTGCTATTCCAACAACTTCCCTAAAGGTACGCAATTAATTTTTAACACTATGGAACAATTTATCATTTGGTTTTACAATGCATAATGTCCTTTGTGCAGGTATGCTGCTACGTTGGTTCGTGAATCTGTATGATCTGGAGGTCATTGAGGAGGAAGCATTTTTCAAGTGGAAGGAGAATGTTTCTGATGATTATCCTGGCAAGGGGAAGGCGCTCTTCCAGGTTTGTGTCTCTTAAGTTCTGTTATGTTATAATAAATTCTTTTTCCAATATTCTGATGCAATGGTAACATGTAATTGGTATCTGTTTTCAGGTCAACCAGTGGCTGATGTGGCTGGCGGAGGCGGAGTCTGAAGAGGAGGAGGAGGGCGATGCCTAGGCTGTGCAGTATTAAACGTGTTACTGGGTAACAAAAGTTCTAAAAAATAGTAAAATTTGCAGTTAAGTAAATGCTATCTGCATCAAAATTGAGTGGGGTGTGTGTTCCACTCCAGAAAAAAAGAGGAAAAGTGTTTAAAAATGTGGTTAGCGTTCATTTAGTACTCACATCATTTTATCTTTCTTTCAATGAAGCTACCTGCACATAGTTTCCGGACGCGGGCTTCTTCAACTGGTAGAGCAGCAAATTTTAAATTAGAATTGAATTCTTTTGAAGCATTTGCTCTGGAAGGGCAAAAGCAAATTATTGTATCTTAATTCTTAATTCTGCAGTTTTCCATTTGAGGGATTTCTTTATTTATTCAATGAATTTTTCTTATTGTAACAAATTTTATCTAAGGAACAGAGGAGACTTGTACTGTGTACAAACTTTTTCATACCAATAAATAGTGAGAAGTCATTGGTTTAATTCTTTATCCCTTTCCTCAGTGGGTTAATTAATTTTCAATTAATTTATTTCTGCCAGTTAAGAAGTGAGTGTCTTCTAGGGCAATAATAGAAAGAATGTAACGGTGTTAGCGGTCAGATGGAGTAATGCAAGGTTATTCTTGTTGTGTGCATCAATTTTATTTGTCATGTGATTGATTTGTGTCGTACAGTTTTAGTTCTAGGCAACTGTTCCTTTCTTTCATATTCAATTTTACGGCACGGGGTGCTGATAATTTTATGTTGCGTTGACTATTTGACATATTTTTGATTGTTTTTTTTAAACCTTTTATTGAGTGCAAATCTCTTTTGAAAAAAAAATTATTATTCTAGGTTAGGCGTAAACCCTTTACCTTTTTAGAACCATTTCCATTTATTTATCCTGTAGTGTTCTAGATTTTTATTACTCTCGATTCTGTCATAACATTGTTGAGTACATCTTGAATCGGATTGTGTGGTTGTTTTTAATGTAAGGGGACTTCAACATCTCAAACCCAGGTAGCTGTTCTTTTTTAATTAAATCTGCCTGATAGCTGGTTTTGTTCATGTTTTGTTCGTCCTCATGTTGATTTTGTGATTTGGTTGAAATGAAATGTGGAAATGGTTTGAAAGGAATATCCGTGGAACTGAGTAGTCTTCTCACAGTGAAATGAGTGAAGAAATGTTAGTGAGCCTCTATCTGGTTCTTGGAGGGAACACTAACTCGACTAGTCATTTAAGCAACTGTGTCAAGACCATTACTATTATTTATTGCCCATACAAAAAAATAATAATACTCACTTCCCTTACTCTCCTGAATGATATGTTAATTTAGTGGAAGTAAGGTATGGGACCAAGATGGAATATTCAGGATGTACATTTTGTCATTTTTGTTTTAATCCTGCCATCCTTTATATTATTCCACTTGCATTCTTTATATGAAGAGAGTGGATTTTGCTACTGTTATGAAATTTGTTAACTACCTCATGAGTCTATATGTTTTGTCCCTTAATATTGCTTGTCCACAGAAATCTGTACTTGTTTGCATTGCATTGTTCTTATCCCATCTAAAATTGTTGGATCTTTGTGTACCTAACACCAAATAAAGTATTACTGACCACATCATATCTGCCTTTCAATATTTTTCCATTATCAACATACACTCCATTTTTGGCTTCGCCAACTGAAATGGGATGACATTACATGGGAGTCATGACCCTCGCTAAACTGGCAGGTCAATATTTGGAAATAGTCGAAATTTAATCTTCCCGCCAGCTTGACTTCGCGGAATGAAATATTTTCATACATTCACTCATGCTCAGTTTCTCATATCCGGACGGTGTGTTTACCGGCGGGGCGGGGCGGGGTGTCAAATTTGAAACTCGAACCGCTGGTTGCTGCAGGTTGGGTCGGCGAGCGGCGAGCAGTCTTGATTGTTTTATGTTCATTTATTATGCTATTACCGTCACAAAGCACATGACATTGTTTGGATACTTCTGAAACACTGTTTCTGATAATTTCCGTTCGGAAAAGTTCGACGCCCATAAAAGTTGAGGTTAATGTCATTGTCGGTAACACTTATTTAGAACTTGCATAAGTAGAAAGACCAGTCATTCTCTATAGTTTGTATTTTCTTGAGACATATCGTCATTTGATCGTGACAAATCAGGCATTAAAGAGGTATCTATCTCACAGTGGTCGGTAATCATGTATGTAAACTGTCAATAGTCAATCAGTTTTCTATCTGTCATGAGTCGAGAACTCTCTGGGTCATTTATTCCTTCTGAATCTACTTGTCATGTAATAGATTATTCTTCCGAACATGCAGGTAAATTTATCTCTTTGTTATATCAGAAATTTATTTTTCCATCTCCTCTCTGTTGATTTTTGTTTGTTTTAAGATGTTGCAGCATGTGTGCAGGAAGAAGGGCTCATTATTTTACGAGAAGGTCGAGTCATTGGCTGGTGTGACATAGGTGAAGGGCTTGTTCATCGAATATCAATATTCTTTACATATCAACCATTTTGCAAGAATTATGTGCTTCAGTTGGAATCATGTGTTAAAGTTGTTTCACATGCATCTTGTTTGAAGGTGAGTATTCATTTATTCTCTACATGAAAACTTTATGAAGATTTAGTAATGTCAATCTTTTTGTTCAGGTGACACACACCTTCGACAATGTTACACGGTTTGAAATTGGAGACTTTAGCCAAAAAGGGTTCCCCCAGTTGGGTCTCTGGAGTGAAGACCATGAGGATATGCGTATAACCGACCTCACAGCGTCAAGCTCTTCTTCCTTGATCAATCCTAATCCTGTTGAGACTGTCCTTAGTGCCAAACTCAGGGTATGTTCATCTTTACATGGTACCAAAAATAAAGCATAAAGGTCCCCAAAAATCATCTTTAAATGTTTCATAGTCTTACATTATCATTCTTTCCCTAAGGGTTTAAAAGTGAGTGTTGAGAGGGTTCATAAGCAATTAGAAGAAAAGAGAAAGCTGCGCCGGCATTGTATGTTCCACATTGTTGGTGTTAATCACACTGAACATTCTCCATCACTAGACAAGGTATAGATCCAATATTTACTTCCCAAATGTACCTATTGTTGTGTGAGCTATATTAGACTTTCATTAATTTTTTTTTCAGTTGGTCCCTTTGATAGGAAGTTTTTCAAACTCAATTGAAGTTAAGAAGACAACATCTAGACGCCACCTTGTCATCAAGAACTCTTGGCAAAAACTACTTGACAGGAAATGGGTCCTTGGTTGCGACGTGCAGAATAACAGCTCTGGGTGAGTCTTTACAAACACACGATTGGAAAGAAAAAAACATTTATTTCAATTTTTGAGTTAAGGGTATGAACACAAGACTTTGCCCGATCAATTCTCAGAAGTGCTTAGTATCTATGTAGATGAAAATGGAAGAGGTGCAGCTGTACAACAAAGCTACAATTTTTTTATTTGTATTTACACAAGTTTTACAAAGATCTTGAACCTTGAATGGAATGACAACATGAATCCTCATTAAAAAACCATCGTCAAATGATTTTTTGATATGCATCTTAAGTTTTAACATTTCAAAAATAGGAAGTGTGTCTTATTCAAACGGACCCAGTGTTAAGAAAATTGTTGATGATTGAAAACGCATCACTCTTTCATTGAGTGGGACTAGTTCAAATTCCATAAACTGCATCCCACACTTTATATTTTCCTCCTTTTCCAGCACATGTGCAGTCATTCATTGCACTTTTATCACTCTTTTAAATCACCTTAAACCATTGAATAATGACATTTTATTCAGATTTGCAAATTTGGTCCCAATCTTTCGTCACCAATCAGTTAGTGTACATCAAATGGATACACTCTCCATGATCTTTTTTAAACCATTATCCCCTACTCTAAAAAAACGGGGGTACTCTAAATTACTGAAAAGAACAACTTAAGTTTTTCAAGACAACAAGAGTAAAAACATGCCAATCTGTCCATTCGCTTGAATAGTATACATGAAGATCAAAAGAAATTATTTTACTTGAGCTTGGAGTTTTTTGTTTTCATTATTTTCTGTTTTTGCAATATCTATTTGATTGTACAAACTACACACACTAAGATCAAATTTATTTATGGTCAAATTTGGAAGCCCTTCAGCACTGACGTTCCTTCTATTCACATCCACCAGTGGGAATATGAGAGGTGTCAAATTTAAGCACCATTGCATAATCACAATTTCATCAACTCGCTTTGTTTTATTTCCCTTTCTACTTAATTATCCTAGTAAAAATGTGGTTTTCTATCTCTATATTTTGTGGCTCCTTAACAGAATTATACTCTTCACTTGAAAGTTAGAACCCATAACTAATTTACAGTATGACTAAATTTCAAAGGGGAAGTAGTTTAATTGAACACATGTCCTTTGGAAATTTGACCTGTCGTTAATTTGACATTGAAGTTGCGTACACTCAACTGGCATTTGTTTTGAGCAAGGCATTCCCTGTAGAAGACAAATGAAAAATGAAAACTAACACACTTTAAGTTGGAGGGGACTTTGTTACTTGGTGTTTGTTGAAGTGATGCCTTGAGGCACTCGGTGGAGAGGTGGGGTCCTCCTCCCCTTGTTCTAAATAACCGTCTAATGTATATCCAAACAGCTCAAAGTCATATCTATAAATCTCATAGAGGCTTAAGATTTCTTTTTTTGTGAGCTGTGTGTAGTAGGAACTTATGAGGTTTGTAGTCGCTGTCCTGCCCTTTGCTGGGTTTTTCCACTCTGGATGTATATAGTCTTGAAGACGTGCTCTATATATTAAGTAGTTCTGGTCCTCCTGTAAAGAAGGTTTTGACCTGTTAAGTCTAACAATTTCCAAAATTTGAAAAATTCCAGTGAATTTTAACTTACCTCTAATGTTTCAAATTTAGCTATGACCTCAAAATGCAAATGACAGGGTGTGCAAAACTCGGCAATAGGTGCCCAGTGCATATCAAATTCTCTGCCTTCTCTGAATTCGTCCAGTAAGTACTGAACAAACTCCGAAAAGGTGGGCCACTTGGGGGATAGGCGCTTTCTTTTCGTGGGGTCACGGCTCCCGATTGTGCTCTGGAATCATAGTAAATCGAGTTCTTATTTCGGAGTTTTTGAACCACATTTATAAATCAAGAGAATTTAAAATGTTTGATGCTTACCCTGCTTTTTGTTCTATATTTTTGTATTATACGTATGCCTAGTCTTTGATGCAGAGTATGAGGGAGAGAATACTGAATTTTGTCTCTGTATGCTGACAAAAGTCGCTCTAAAGGATGCCTGACTATTAAAAATGAAATTGATGAATTCAAAGCATCTCTCAAGGTTTCCAATGATGGTCGAGGATATCTTTGTCTTGCAAGCTGAAGGGGGACCACCTACGGGGTAGAAGAAATACATTTTATCAGAACTTGAATTCACATTGATGTTGGTCCCTGGAAGCTGAAGGGGGCCTTTGACTCTCCTCACCTTACTCTGCTTCAAGAAATGAGGTGTGTAACCTGCTAAAATGTTGAAGTTGTACATCCAAGAAGTTGAAGCAGCCTTAAAAACATTACACCATACTAGATGATGCTGTGTATTGATTAGGTATTCCCAGGGATTGGGCTGGTGTAGGGAGTCATTGCTAGGTACGTCCAAGCCTGTTCGAATGCAGGCATCACGTAGCTCTGCTCTTCTGGCTGCCATTCTAATAGCCATTCTGGACATCCAACCCGGATCAGGGCCTGGGCCCCAAGTGCCGTAGAAGCCATCGATCTGAAACGAAGACCAAGACGAAAATAGACATATTAGTGACGTCAGAGTCAGAGTGCAGCACAACTCGATAAATTTCATCAACTGTTAATTGCATGCAAGAATCAAAAGAAAAATGATCTATCAAAATAATTTTATGTACATTAGATTTTGATCAATATTCACTACTTCTAACAGCTATCTTAATCTAATTTCAAAAATTAAAAGCAGAAAACCAAGCAACACATTGTTGTTACGCTCATTATTAGTAATTGCCAAATGCTTTTGATGAGATTTAGACCTGGCAACAAACACAGTGATTTTTGCTTCCATTCAGATTTAGTCAAACACGAGTCACAAGAAACCAGAAAACAGTCAAGCATAGAGCAGGGAAGCAATTTACTTTTGTGCCTTGGCATTCCAGTTGTGATTTCTTTGCCTTACTTCCCAGCTAAAAGCAAACACATAAATATAGCAGCCTCTTACCCCTTCCACTGCCACTTTTTGTCCTGTGAATTGTACATCCTGGAAGCAAAATCAAATTTCTTTTTTCTTTTGTAAAACAACTTAGCCTAAAATGTTAATTTTTTTGCTAACTTTCCAGTGCATTTATTTTATCACTATATTCATTTTTAAAAGAGCCATAAAACAAACTTACAAGTCCTCTGTGTTATTCTGTGATTTTGTACATTGCACTTTAAGTTCTAATTACTACCCTAGATTATGCCAAGATGAGAAAATCTGCCTTGTTTGCTGAGTCTAATCTACCTAAGCTAAAAACTCTAATGCACGCAATGAATTAATGAAAGCATGAATGACGATAAGTTAGTGATCACCGCCTCTGTCGACGTTGACAGTGGCAAAGTAGTTTGAGGGTGGGGGGCTTGCGTGGGGTCTGGGGGGCGAACCCCCGTGTGGGCGTCGGGAAGGCAACCCGCAAATGAGTCGCCATGGCCGAAAGTGGGCTAAAAGATGCCAAGCCCTTAAAGATGCCGTGCCCCTTTCCCGCCTTATCATCGGTGCTGACACTAGCATGGTCGAAACTGCTCAGAGCTTATTACAATGTCTGGTTCTAAGGTGAAATCTAACTCTAAGTTACTCAATGTAAGGAAAGATAAAACTGGTCTCTGTGCACTTCTCTACGGCCTGCCTGGCGAGCGACCCGGAAGAGCGGTCAGTCGCTCTGTCTCTCCCGCTCCCTGACGGAGGGCCCGTGAGTGCGACAGAGACAGAGCGACGAAGCGACTCTCCTGAGTCGCTCGCACGGTGGACTGGAAGACCGTTGGAGGGGTCCAAAGTTCAGGACGCGACAGAGTCGCTAAATGGGACTCGAACCGAACGTGTGACCCCAGTGGATTGCTCTCCGAACGAGGAATCCATTGGTGGGGTCACACGATCAGTTCGAGTCCCATTTAGCGACTCTAGGGCTCAAAACGCGACTAGAGTTCTGGCCGCCTCCACCGGTCTGCTGGCCCACTGTGGCTCGTCCCGGCGGTCCGGCCCGGCGGGCCCGGCCTACCTGGTAGCGGTGCCTAGTGACGCTGGAGCCGATGAGCAGCAGCACGGCGGGGATGAGCGCCACGGCCGAGACGAGCACCAGGACGCGCCTCACGGCCACGCGCAGGACGCCGCATCGCATGCTGGAGCATCGCTGGGGACAACGAAAAACGACTTCTTGGTCCGACCGGGGGAACTCGCGTCCTCAGGCCAATGGGCCAGAAGACCGGTGGGGGTGGCCAAGAATCAAGACGCGTTTTGAGCTCCAGAGTCGCTACACAGGACACGAACGGAGCGAGTGACCCCACCAACGGATTCCTCGTTCCGAGAGCAATGCATTGGTGGGGTCACACGTTCGGTTCGAGTCCCGTTTAGCGACTCTGGAGCTCAAAACGCGTCTAGTATTTTGTCCGCCCCCCATCGGTCTTCTGGCAAATACCACTGTGCCCTGGCAAGTACTAGTACTCCATGCAATCTACCCGGAGGTCAGAAGGCAGATTGCAAGCGAGTTTTCCGTTCCGGTCTGGCGGGCTTAGTGTTCTGTGCGCAGCCCCGCCGTGAGCGACGCGAGCACGACGTGAAGCACGACGTGAAGCGCCGCAAGGCAGGAAGCCGTCCAAGTCGGCTTGGCGGGTAGTAGGCCCTGTTGGTCCCTTTGCCCCACGCGAGCCACGCGACTAAGCCTTTTCATGCAGACGGGCACGGAAAAATGAATTAGTCTGCTTCAAGAAGACCTGAGTTTGGTTGGGTCGAGACTTGGGACAGAAAGTTGGTGCATTCGTCTGTGGCCAGCTGGGCCAGCTGCGCAGATGTGCATGGGTCCGTGCGTAGTTGACGCGACCCCAGCTTCCTGCTGGTGCACCTCCAGGGGCTGCAGAGCACCTTTTCAGCACTCCCCCGTGCGATGCCCCCGATACCACTAGAATTTACATGCAGCCATGCCACTTGCCCCCGTCAGCGCGCGACGGGAGAGCAATCCATTGGTGGGGTCACACGTTCGGTTCGAGTCCCATTTAGTGACTCTGGAGCTCTTAACTCGTCGAGAATTTTGTCTGCCTCCACCGGTCTTCTGGCCCACTGTGCAGTGAGTGCGAGAGAGACAGAGGGGCCCCTGGTGCGCGAGGTGCGGCTGCTGAATTTACTCCTCTGTTTGCCAAATGCCGGGAGCGCTCACCGATTAAAGCGAGCGCCAGAGCGAGTGCAACAACAGGAGTTGCCGACGTAAATGTTGGCTACACTGTGATGAATGACGGGCTCATTGAATTTGTGAGGCCAATGCTTGAGGGAAATTGACTTATCAATTGAGCAATTTGCATTGGGAGCACTGAGTGAAATAAACTGAACTCTAAGTCACACGTACAAGGGCTTGTGATTGTGAAAAAAAAAATTACAAACAAAAACAAAACACTGGAGACCAGATGGGGCACGATTGAAACCACACAGAACGATTTAGTGGTGAGGAGAGCAGGTTCGTGAACATCCCTGGGGCGGCGAGGCGAACCGTTCCCCGAAGGCCGAAAATGACAGTGGTCTTACAAGTCGCTGACGGTCTACAGACGTTTGCCCCATCTTGCGCTTCGTAAACACACTCGCTGAGGACTGGCGTGGCCTGGCCCGCTTTGCCTCACCTGGTGCTGCGACGCGCCGGCGGGGAGGTGGCGGCTTGTGTCCTGGCGGAGGCCCTGACGGAGGCCCTGACGGAGGCGGTGCTCGGCGTGATGAGCCCGACCGACCTGGCGGCAGTGGCGGCGGTGCAGTGGCAGGCAACCGCCCTGCGGCTTGGGCCTGCGCGAGCCGAGCCGGAGCGGTGCGGGGCCGAGCCGAGCCCAGCCGCTAGTGACTCGCAGTGGCGCGGCGCGGCCCGCAAGGACCGGTCCCGGTCGCCCTGGAGGGCGGGGGGCACCGGGGGGTGGTCTGGGGGCGGCAGGGGGGCCGGGGTACACGGGGAGCTATCGATTGAGCCGCCCTCCCCGGACCGGGCGTGGGAGGAGGAAGAGGGAAGGGTGGCGGCGCGTGGTCGGCAGGTGGAGCGGCGTGTGTCTCTCTCGCACCCGCGGCCGCCCCGTGAGTGAGAGAGACAGAGCCCTGTTTGGCATGAGCCGACTGGCCGGGCTGGGGCTGGCCCTCGGGCTGGCCCGCAGATGAATGGCGACCGGAATGCTTTGGAAATGATAAGTACAAAGTGGGGAATCGACCCGCGTCCTGCACACTGCACTCCGACTCCTTCACGACGAGGACGCCCCGTTTCCCGCCGCCGGCGCAAACATCTTCCTCCCCGTCATTTTGGATTCATGGAATTTTTATGCGGGGGCCGTTGCGTGTGCCAGCAGGCCGTCCTCGTCCAGGCCTCGTCCTCGTGGAAGGCGGCAGTTTGCACTCCACTGCCGTCGGGCGGGCGGGCTCCCCTCGGAGACCCTCGGCGTCCCCCGGCGTCCCTTCGACCCCCTCGACGGGCGATGAAGCGGGGCCATCAGACAAATTACCAACCGGCCAGGCGGACGCCCCGCCCCCGCCGCCCCGCCCCTGACCAGACGCCGGCCAGTCCTTGCTCTCCGAACGACCAATCCATTGGTGGGGTCACACGCTCGGTTCGAGTCCTGCTTAGCGACTCTGGAGCTCAAAACGCGTCTAGAGTTTCTGCCGCCTCCACCGGTCTTCTGGCGCACTGTGGGACGGAAGCTGATTCCTAGTCGTTCTCTCTCGCACACATGGGGCGTCCCGCGTGGGTGCGAGAGAGACAGAGCGACGACTCCGTCTGCTGGAGGCGCTCTCGCTTTCCTTCGGCGTGTCGCGTGCGCGTGGCGGTCACGCTGTGCTCAAACGGCGCACGCGTGCCGAGCGTGAGCGTGACACCGAGGCGCGACGCGGCGCGAGGCGGCACGGCACGGCACGGCCAGTGTGTTTAGAGTACATTAGTGCCCCTGTCCCCCCCCCCTCCCCGGCCGTTCCAAACACCTGCACGCCCGCATCGCAGCCATCTAGATGGACGGGACGGCACCGCGACGGCACCGCGCTGTCCATGGCGCTGTCGCCGACTGTCGGGTCGGGTCGCGGCGTCGCGGTATCGCGATGACTGTCTCGCCGGACTCGCTACTCGTTGTGTACCTGTCTCTCTCGCTCTCGTAGCACGTCAGGGGCAGAGAGAGAGAGAGAGAGAGAGAGAGAGAGAGAGAGAGAGAGAGAGAGAGAGAGCTGTCTCTCTCTCCCGCGGTCGCCCCGTCCGGCCCGGCCCCGTCGCTTCCAGATAGGAATGAATAGAGGAGGCGTGTCACTACACTGCACTGCTGCGCCAGGCTGCGCCATGGCGTCACTGCGCGGGGGTGGCGATGTCATCGGCGTGCGGACACGCTCGGCCGATTCTCTGTCTCTGTCGCACTCATGGGGCCCTCCATAAGGGTGCGAGCGAGACGGTGACAATCTACTGGGAGGCCTTCGCACCCTGGCCTTGATGCTTTGGCCTTGCGGCCCTGTCCCTGGCACCGGACAGGCTACTGCTGTCTAGTCAACACTGGCATGTTCGAAACGAATGTGTGCACTGCACTAACGGGGGCGTTTTGGCGTTTTTCGACGCTTTCTGTCTGTTTGCCCGTCTGTCTGTCTGTCTGTCTGTCTGTCTGTCTGTCTGTCTGTCTGTCTGCCTTTCCGTCCACCTGCCAGCTCCTCAACAGTCCCTCTGTTTGTCCATCGTCTCGACTTGCATCGACCGCGCGAGGTTAAGACACACACGCCATCCCCGCTCACGCCGTACTATTGTACTCCTCCGCTATTTTTAACCGCTTTGAGCTGCCGTCCCTTTGTGCCGAGCCGCCTCTCGGCCTCGCATTCAGCAGTGGAGGAGAGATCAGCCTGGCGGGTAGGCAACCCTGCGGCAGGGCTGCGTGGCGGGCCGGCATCCCTGCCGTTGACAGGGGCTCCGCCGGGCGCGCCGCCGATCTTCGAACCGCTTTACGCTTCCAATGCGTTTCGTAAACATTTAACTTTTTGTTTGTATGTCCTGCCTTGTAAAACGCCCGAGATTTTTTAAAACCTTTTTTTTTGACTGTTTGGTTATGTTGGTGCTCCGCGACGCGCTTCGTGCGCGGGCTTTTCATCCAGCCGGTCTTTAGCGCCGCCCGACTTTTCCCTGTCGCAGGCCGCTGCGCTCACTCTCGCTGTGCGTCTCGGGCGGCGTCCACGGCGTCGCCGACGTCGTCGAGTGGCGGGTCATGGTGCAGCAGCCCCGCCGGAGGGGGAGGGGGGCCGACAGTGTGTACGCCGCCGTGCCGCCCCGCCCCGAGCTGCAGCCCTGGCCGCCCTGGACCGTCCTGGCGGCCGACGGGGTCCTGGAAGTCGGCCAGCACGCCGTCATCGTAGGTCGGTAACCGCCAGCCAGCCAGCGCCCCGCAGTCTTACGACATCCGCAGTGCGCCATCCCGTGCTGCCGATCCAGAGACGGCCGTCACAGTGGGCCAGAAGACCGGTGGGGGCGGCCGAAACCCTAGACGCGTTTTGAGCTCCAGGGTCACTGAGCAGGACTCGAACCGAACGTGTGACCCCACCAATGGACTCCTCGTTCGGAGAGCAAATCCATTGGTGGGGTCACACGTTCGGTTCGAGTCACGCTCAGCGTCTCTGGAGCTCAAAACGCGTCCGGGCTTTCGACCGCCTCCACCGGTCTTCTGGCCCACCGTACGCTCGAAACGAAGTGAGTGAGCTCGTGTTGTTTGGGGTTGGCAGCCACGGTCCCGGAGCCCGCTTTCTCGGGCCGCAGCGCCGTCGTGGAGGTCCTCGGGCTGGTGAGCGCGGTGCTGCCGAACGGCCGAGGTGAGTGTCCGACTCAAAGACAAGACATCAGCTCCACGAGGGCGTCCTTTCGAACGCGGCTGGCTGTTCGCTGTTCCAGAGACGTGGACGGGGCTGCCGGCGTGGCGGCTGTCCGTCGACGAGGTGCTTCGCGGCGACCTGGTGCCGTTCGGCGTCCGGGAGGGCCTCCGCGACGCCGAGCACGAGGACGTCCTGGCCAGCGCGGCGTGCTGCCCCGTGCCGGTGGAGCTCCGCGTCGACGGCCGCGAGGGCCTGGCCGACCGCGTCGTCGGCCTGCTGCGCGACGCCAACCTGCGCGCCCCGGACGGCGGCCCGGACGGCCCGCTCGTCGACCACACCCTGCTGGTGGGGACCGGGCCCCCTGAGACGCCCCTGCACGGCGCGCTGGTGCTGCTGCACGTGCACGCCACCAACGCCTGCTCGCTCCACGTCCGCGCCAGGTCAGTCAGAAACATTTTTAATTTTTCAAAAACTTCGGAGTCGTGACTCGTCGCCTCTTGGTCCGCAGGGACGCTCGCCACGTGTTGCTGCTCGCGCACCGCCTGCTGGCCGGCCTGCCGCAGCACACCAGGCTGCGCGCGGTGGGCCGGCGGCGCCACGACGCCGACCTGGGCACGCCGGCGTTGGCGCGCGCCCTCATCAAGGCCCTGAGCGCGGAGCTGCGCGCCGTCACGGCCCGGGACCGGCGCCTCCCCCGCGACGCGCTGCACGCCCTGGAGGTGGCCACGGACCTGGCGGCGCAGGCGCTGTCGGCCAGGTCCTGCCGTTGAAGGTGGGTGTTTGTGTCGCCGGCTCCTCGCAGGAGAAGAATGCAATGAAACGGGTATGCCGGCCAACTTGCCCCTTTACTTTGTTTCTCCCTGGAGCATTCCGACCTAGTCGTCCGCGACGCCAAACTAGCTGTTGGGCCAACTCTATGGCCGTGTCGCCCCTTTCGCGTTTCGCGGGCCGTTGCGTCCGAGCCCCGCCTGGCCGCGCTGTCTCTCTCGCACCCTTACGGGACGCGCAAGGAGTGCGACAGAGACAGAAGGCCCTGGCCTTAACCTGGCCTAGAGCCTGGCCCTGCGGCGTGGAGTATGTCCCGCTGCTACCGCTGCCGCCCCTCGTGGCCGCACTGGTAACTAGAAGGCGCCAACTTTGAATCGCACAGTGCGCCAGTCGGCGATAGTGCGACGAGATGGCTAGTACCAACCTACCCGTTCTCGTTTATGCTCTGTCAGATGTTGAGGATTGAATAATATTTTTCCGTGTCACAAATTTTGTTTTCAACACATTTTATTAGGATCAGCCCAGCAAAAACGTTAAAGCAAAAAACAAATGCTGATTTTAATTTGAGGAAAAACGAATCACAACAGTAAAAAATATTTTTAATAGTATTCAAATGCTGCGTTTAATTCCTCGAGTAAACTGGCGGCACACTGAAACAAACGTAACATATGTTTTTGTTAATGAAAAAACTTGTACCTGACTTCCACAATGTATCTTATGAATATGAACTTTCCATTCTGTTGCCCAGTGAATTTATTTGTTTATTCCAACAACCCAACGTGCACCCTGTGCATGCTAAAAACCATGCAAAATAAGAGGGTTTACTCTAAAACATTGAAAAAACAGTTAAGGACCGATTCTTTTATACCATACCTTGACCGGAGACTTTGCTGTCTAGCTGTCTCACGCTGCCGCTCTAGTTGAGCTAAAATCTCAGCAACAACGTCGCCATCATCCAACATCTAAAACCAAAGAAGCTTTAAAGCAGGGTAGTCATTCGCCAAAGCGTCTCCCCACCTAGAGCCTTTGCAGTGCAGGGGCATATAGGCCATGGTCTGTGAGACTGTGAGTGTCATTGAGTGGACAGACTAAGAAATTCTTTCAAAAGGTGATAGTTTCAAAATAAAATCATATGGCCCTCCCAACCTAAAAGCATCACGTATCATGAAATTTTAGAACATATACAGTAGCAACATGTAATAATGCGTGCAGAAGCCAAGCGGATGGGTCCACAAAAACATTTTTCACTCGTCTCGTAGCCTGTTGAGTTGTTGTGTTGTGAGTCTAGTCTTGCTTTGAAAAAAACAATAAATGAATTTTAACAAGTAACATCTACCAATATTTATTCATCTCGAAATAACTCACAACTACGCTTTAACATTTTAAAATTAGTTCATCTAACTCTAACAATCTTTGAACCAGAAAATAAGCATATGTACAGACATGAAAATGTGCAACACCTGGAAAGTATATCCTTGGCACAGAACGTACAAGGCACAAATTATAACCAGTGAGGTTTGAAGGGTAAAGAACCCACCAGAAAGAAGATAAGGTCTTGGAGATCTTCTCATGCTGTGTAAAAAATTCACTGGAGGCAAAGGAACGGGACCGTTTTCATGCCAAGATAATTCTTTATGACATATTTTTTGTGCCTTTTTCTGCAAAGGATCAGACTGGTATTTGGAAGTGTACAAATATTTTGTCTTGATGATTTGTACTTCAGTATTTTCTTCCTTACATTTATGCCATACACACATAACATTGAACTCAAACAACACATTTTTCTCCCAGATAATATTTTATAGTATCCATACACCACTGTTTTTATTAATAAAATGGAATTTTAGATGTGAACTAAGGAATGAACTGCCTAAAATGTTGTCAATAGTACTCACTACAGCTCTAAACAACCCACTACAATTTTAAAGCATTGTCAAAAATTTCATCATAGCCTGTTGCTAACATAAGGCAAAATTTGCTGCACAATGCTTTTGTAAAACGATCATATATGTGTCTTTTCTGGACCAAAACAACCATGTTGGTTTAGAATCTTTCTTTAGATTCTTCAACAAGAAACAGAAAGGAACAAAAATACAGTGAACAACATTAATACTGCCTGTTAAGCATTTTCTCAGATCAGAAAAACAACAATGAAACACAAAATATCAGATTCGGATTTAGTAACTTTCTTGAGGGTATCACAACTTCAGGTACATGCTTCCTCATCAACAATGTGCCAGTGTTGTGCTGCCAGATTATCGTACAATGCTTATTAATTTCTCAAAAATAGTTTAAAAAATAGAAAAAGTGCAATGCAAAACCCACATTGTATTTCATAGTGTCTTTGGTAAAATCATACACTTTTATGGCACCAAGGAAATCTGTTTTTTTTTTTCTGTGTGAACTTGGCTTTAAAAAGCATATCTGAGAAAATGAATCTAAAATAAATATAAACACAGCCTTAAAGAATGGAATGTAATCCATGAGAGCGACTCAAAATCCATGGAAGGTCTCAAGCATGGCAAGTAAAGAAAAGGCATTAGTTTACTTGCACTCAGGTATTCAAGTAAACACAAAGAAAAGACTTCAAAGTTACAGTGGGAGTTTAAAATAAAGGAAGAAAAAGACCCACTCTGCTAAAAAAATCACTAGATACTATCACTGTTTGAAAATCTTCTATGAAGTAGTAGCAGAGAATATTTCATCAATGTATCAAACACTAAACGTCCTACACACACTTAGCATTAGCAGATATTGAAAGTAGCATTTCCAATCAGGTATATCATTAAATTTAGTGGGAATGCTATTCCCTCAGTAGAAGTTCTTTTAGATGAGGAAAATATGAAGCCAAAACAGTGTGGTAAAGTTTTCATTTTGAGCACTTGCTGTAACAAATCCATCATTATTATTGAAATTCATATACTTCCTAAAAATTTAGTATTGTCTATGTTCACGGATTTTGTTAAGAACTACACACAACAACAAATGAAAATATGTTTTTCTCTTTGCTTGTAACATCACATAGTAAAAATATTCACTCTTCGGACAAACCATTGCAGCACTTTTGGCTCATACTCAAATTTGGCTAACCTGCAACATTTCTCTTAAAACACAACTGACTATAAAAACTATGTTCTTAATAAAAATCTGAAATTTAAATATCACTAATCTATAATTGAATGAGCAAGCTGAAGATGCCCAAAAGTGGGTCAAACAGCAACTAAGTATATTGTCAAATGACTAAATTATTGTCAATATTATTGTCAATATAAGTTGAAATCTTATTGTCAAGAAAAAGACTACAAGATGAAGTTAATTTATGCATTTGAGACATCACTTTCCCATCAACTGGGAGCTCAAGATGCCTGTATCAAGCATAAAATCGTTTAATTTTGGCCACTGAAACATTTAATGAAATTATGAAAAATAAATAGAAGGAAACAATGAAAAAATCACATGTGGGAAAAAGGTAGTATGTGTGTGAGTCTTGTCTACCTGACCCAAAATTCAGCACTGAATCAGGCGCTGGCCGTTCCAAGTTTCAAGTATCAGACCTACTATGTCTTTTCCCATTCTGTCTCTTCAACAACGCAGACGCCTTTCAATCATCCTGGGGCACGCCAGTTTCCACCAGCACACGGGCATACCCTTCTAAGTAGTTACATATATTGTCAGCAAAATCACAGTCAGTCTACAGGTGCCCCAAGGCGCCCCATGGCGGCACGTTGCTTACTCCACTCGCGCGATGCGTGCCCAGCTCAACTTGCAACCCTCTTCGGCTGAAAAAGACTACTTGAGATTCGTCCCATCCCAAAACTGAAGGGCTTGTATTATTCACAGCACACTCAAAGAAAACTATCATAAAAGGGGAAGCATCAGGGGAGGACTCGCATGACTAGCCATTGACTGTTCTTGGTTTCTCTTCGTCCGCCGCCCCGATTCCCCCACTCCTTCATACGATTATCACACACGTTCGTATCCCCTAGCATGCACAATACGACAGTCTGACCAGTCTGAAATAAAAATAATTTCTGCAACTGAGCGTGTTGAAATGTCAGTAATATGGTTTAATTGAAGGACAGTTTTAAATATTTAAACCAAATAATTGACGATGTTGGAAATGAAATTCACACTGGTCAGGCTCGTCCAAGGCAGGGCGTGGAGGCACAAATACAACCCTCACAATGATGTTTCACAGTGTACGATACGACCCAGACGTCACAACGTGTAGTAGGAACCAAACAAAGACAGTTCGAGCATGGCACTGGACTGTGCACTTCCCTGCTGCGCAATGTAACAACACACTTGCCGCGACGGACGCCACACCGAAAACTGACGCACACACAGACAGACAGAGAGACAGTCCCCAAGCCCCGCGGGGCCCCGGGGCAGCAGCAAGCTGGACCAGCGAGGAGCGCTGCTGATTGGTCGGCCTACACACAGTGGATTAGCCAGAAGACCGGCGCCGACGGACGAAATTCTAGACGCGTTTTAAGCTCCAGGGTCGGTAAACAGGACTCGAACCGAACGTGTGACCCCACCAATGGATCCCTCGTTCGGAGAGCAATCCATTGGTGGGGTCACACGTTCGGTCCGAGTCCCATTTAGCGACTCTGGAGCTCAAAACGCGTCTAGAGTTTTGGCCGCCTCCACCGGTCTTTAGTGCGTCGCCTCCCGGACCAATGTGAGCGCGGCCCGCCGCTCCCTCTTGCCCGAGGCGGCCGAGGCGGTTGGCGGTTCCGGCTCGTTTCCACGACATGCGCTGCGCCATGGCTGCGCGCTGCTCGCGCTGCTCAAGCCTTGATGACGTCATCGCCCACCTGCTCGGCGCCGCCGATGGTGCTGACGGTGATGGCGCGCTCCATGGGGCACTTCTGCGCGGCCTGGCGCCGCAGGTCGTTCTTGATGAGGGCCGTCATGATGGTGCCCACGAGCAGCGCCAGGCACATGGCCACGTTGGCGTACAGGTGGCCGGAGCGCTCGAACACCCAGCCGTAGAACATGGTGAACAGGATGCCGAAGAGCTGCACGGCCGCGTTGAGCAGCCCCGCCGACGTGCCCTCCGGCTCGGGGTAGGTCAGCTCGGCCGCGAACTCGAAGCCCACCGGCAGGTAGCCCGTCATGAAGAACCTGGCAGGGCAAGACAGACACTTCTTAGAGCCGCCAACTTTGGGGAAAGTTCCCCCTGTAGGCCGATGCAGCGGCAGTGGGGCATTCCCCGGCCGGCACTACCCCACGCCACAGCGGGGGCCCTCTCGGCGGGGGGTATCGGCGCTCGGCGACGCGGACTTCCCTCCGCCGCCTTTCTCCTTTCTCTCTCCCTCGCCCCCGTCCTCGGCGCCGCGCTTCATCTGCCCCGCTCCAAGCATGCTCCAAGGGTCCGGGGCGGGGTTCTCGTCGCGGCGTCGCGGCGTCGCGGCGTCGCGCAGTTTGGCGGTCGGGGACCGTGGCCTAGCCGTGGCCTAGCCGTCAGCCGAAGGGATCCGATCTTATCGGAGTCACAAGTCAGCGGACTTGGAGGCCAAGAGCAGCCGAGACGAGCAGGCTAACAAGGTCAGCCCCTTTATTGGGTCCCCGGGCCCCGAAAAGTCCTGCGGCACGGCATGTCCATTTCTCCCCCCCCCCCCCACTCTCCCAGCGCCCCACCATCCTTTGATTGCAGATTAACATTGGTGCCGAACGGGGCCATCGCTTCTAATGGGTATGCGTGCGGGAAGGTCGCCGCAGAGAAATTCAATTGTGGCACTACTCACCCGAGGACGGCGCTCGCCAGGTACACCACCCAGATCAACCCCGTGAAGAAGGAGTACGTGTAGACCACCATGCCGATCAGCGACAGCGCGTACACGGCCAGGGTCGTCTCCCTGGAGCGCGAAATGAAAAGAATTAAAACCGAAATAAAGTGGAGATTTGACGACAAGATTTGTACTCACTTGAATTTTCCGGTCGAGTCCAGGACGACGCCGCACACGACGGAGCCCATCATGCCGGCCAGCACGATGACTAGCCCGATGTTGCCGGCGTCGTGGCTGCTCTGCGGGCCGAGAGGGAACCACTCAGCGACGACAACAACAAAACCCCGGACGCGTTTTGAGCTCCAGAGTCGCTAAATGGGACTCGAACAGAACGTGTGACCCCACCAATGGATTGCTCTCCGAACGAGGAATCCATTGGTGGGGTCACACAGTCGGTTCGAGTCCTGCTGAGCGACTCTGGAGCTCAAAACGCGTCTAGAGGTTTGGCGGCCTCCACCGGTCTTCTGGCCCACTGTGCGCGGCCACGCAAGGGGGTTTGCTTACCGGGAACACTTTGAGGACGACCTGGTTGAGCAGCGTGCTGATGGCGTAGAAGACGGCGATGTTGACGCCGTACGAGACGAGCAGCAAGATGTAGGCTGGGTTGGTGGATAGCCGCTTGACGGAGATGAAGAAGCCCTCGTTCTCGGTGGCCTTGATGGTGGCTTGCGCGGGGCTGGGTGGCAGCGGCGGGCCTGCCTGGAAGGCTGCGTCGGAAACAGTCGGAAAGTTGGCATCAAACGGGGGGACAGTCAAAACCACGGGCATCAAGACATTGTGCGTTTTACGCAGAGCGCATAGTGGGTCTTCTGGACCACTGGGTGGAGGCACTGGACGGCTACTCACTGACTAGGATGAGCACCAGCAAGACGGACGTGGTGATGGCCACGATGTAGAACAGGACGCGCAGCTGGTCGCCGATCAACTCGGGGTTCGTCGTGTTGTTCTGGACGAGCATGGGCGGCACCACGAAACCAAGCGCCACGCCGAGCTGCGGCAAACCCAAAGCAGTCTGTCACGCCACTGGAAAACACTATTTTCGTACGAGAATGTGGGATGGGGCCGAGCTCCAGAGTCACTAGGTGGGACTCGAACCGAACGTGTGACCCCACCAATGGACTGCTCTCCGAACGAGGAATCCGTTGTTGGGGTCACACGTTCGGTTCGAGTCCTATTTAGTGACTCTGGAGCTCAAAACGCATCTAGAGTTTTGGCCGCCTCCACCGGTCTTCTGGCCCTCTGTGGGGCGGGGGCGGTTTATTCTGGTCACCAACTGGCACACTGGCCGCGGCAGCCACGGCCAGGCACTTGGTGGGCGCGGCGTGGCCGAGGACATGGCAACATCATCTTCCTCTTCCCGGACGGCCAGCCCATCGCCCAGCTCATCCGTCCCCGTCAGATGCCAAGCAGGCGGCAGCCTCTGGCCGAGCTTAGCCACAGGCAGCCACAGGCTTAGCCGCAGCCACTGGACCGGCCGGGGCGGCGGGGCGGGCGGGCTGGGCCGGGCGGGGCGGGCGGGCGGGGCGGGGCCGGGCGGGGCGGGGCGGGGGGGCGGGGCGGGGCGGGGCGGGCGGGGGTCCCGAGGGTGGAGGCCGCGTCCCGGAGCGGGTGCGTCGCTGTCTCTCTCGCACCCAGGGGGTGTCCCGCGGGGGTGCGAGAGAGACGCGTACCGCCGCGGCCACCGAAGGCAAGCAAATTGGGCCAAATCATCGACGCCCCCGTTCCGCCCACGGAGAGGACTCTCTCTCTCTCTCCCTCTCATTAGGCCGGAGAGGAAGGGGAGGGGGCTATAAATATATCTTGTTGGCAACTCGAACGCGGAGCGGCCAACAACCGCCTCTCCAGTGCAGCTGTACGGAGAGAGAGAGAGAGAGCGCCGCAATCAGCCAATTGAGAGCCGCGGATCGCGCGAGGGGAGCCGCGGTCGCACGGCAGTCACGTCGTTTGAGAAGGAAAGGGGGGGGGGCAGTCACATCCAGACTCACAGAACCGAGAGAGAAAGACCGGATATTGCTGGGTAGTCAGGCTGTGGTTGGCAATCCTGCCGACACGGTTGGGCCTCTTTGTGTGGCAGCACTGCGCGCCGCGGCGCCGCGGCACACATGGAAATGGCGGGTCGGGGCGGCGCGATGCGAGATAGAGGTGGCGAGGAAATGAAGACACGGAATGGCTGTAGAGGGGCGGGGTAATAAAGACAAGATCGATTGGCGGAGAGACAGAGAGAGGGAGAGAGAGAGAGACGGGGACGAGAAAAAGGACGGAGTGAGTCGGACAAGAAGTAACCGAAGTCGTCGGGGCCGCCGATTTCATTTAGAAGATGGAGTCGCAGTCAAAGGACCGGAGGAGCGAAGGGCGGACGAGCCAAAGGCCTCCAAAGACCACCGAAGGCCGGGCAGGGCTCGGGGCGACAGCGCGGCGACGGAGACGGATCGCGGCGCGGAGGAAGCGGCGACAAGAGTGAGAAGGAAGAGGGCGAGAGTGGCGGCAGAGAGGAGGCAGGAGGGACCGCTTCTGGACCACGGCACCTGTGCACAGTGGATTTGCTAGAAGACCGGTGGAGGCGGTCAAAATCCCGGACGCGTTTTGAGCTCCAGAGTCGCTGAATGAGACTCGGACCGACCGTGTTACCCCACCTATAGATCGCTCTCCGAACGAGCAATCCATTGGTGGGGTCACACGTTCGGTTCGAGTCCTGTTTAGCGACTCTGGAGCTCAAAACGCGCCTAGAGTTTTGTCCGCCTCCACCGGTCTTGTGGCCCACTGCGCTGCGGAGCTGTGGACCCGGACGCAGGGAGCGCCTGGCGGGTAGGCTGTGCTGTTACACGGGCGTGCCGGGCGGGACTGCCTACCCTGCACTTCACAGGGGCTGAGGGGGAGACCACACCAGCCGCTCTGCCGACGTTTTTAACGGTGCGGCGGCGGAGAGAGAGAGGGGAGGACGAAAGAGCCACACTGGCCGGCGATACAGCGCGGATCGGGCCTGCGCCGTCAATCTTTACTGCCGGTTCACTGACTGTCTGACTGTTTACCTCCTCTTTGTGGTTCCTTTCCGTTATTTCCCCGGACCGGCGTTCCGGCGGGGATGAAAAAAGGGAGCGCGAAACGCAGTAAAGTGGGCTTTATTTTGCGCGAGTTATTGTCTCGGAAGAGTCCGGGAAGGACCAGTGGTGTCCCAATGGGTGTCCCCCAAGCCGGGCCGGACCAAGTTTTCCGCCGCCGGCTCCGAGAACGCCGCTGCGCCGCTGGCTGTTGTTTTTCTACAGTTTGTTCGGTTCAAAGGCGACTCCGGTCGGAGACGCAGTTGTAATGCTTCGATTGGGAACGAAATGTTGAGTCTCTCTTGCAGAGAACTTTTCCCGGGGCGGTAAGGAGAAACTCTCCCGCGCGTGCGGGCGTGCGCTCAAAAAGTGCGTGTAAAAGCAATATGAACTTCATTATGGTACTTGGGAGACTGGTTTTGTTCTTCGGAACAGATCCGTTCTGTCTTCGTAAACCAGATTTAAAAAAGATTTTATAAGTATTCCATAGTGAAGCAAAACCGCTGGCGAAAATGCAAGCGGTTCCAAAAGCACCCTTGGCAGTTTTTCAAGCGGATGACGGCTCCTCGGATGTTTCCGCGTTGGAAACGATCCATTTCTCTCCTCCCCGTAACGACGAAGACGCTTCGCCCCAAGGCGGGCCCCGAGGCGGGGCCAGCCGTGTTTATCAGTCTCTGTCTCTCTCGCACCGATGACGGGCCGCCCCTCGAGTGCGAGAGAGACGGAGCAAGGGGGGCTGACTCCTATAATACTTCGTACACAGCCCTATAATACTTGAATAATACTATAATCCATAATACCAAAAAATGCCGCACATTTTGTGCAGTTTTGGTTTTAAAATGAGAAAGTTGTGTAAAATTGTGGTGAACAAGCGTTCAGAGATTTCTAGACGGAACGTTAGAGTAAGAAAATGGCGCTGAGAGAAATGACTTGGTGCTGAGGCTCTTAAAGATGCGCTGTATAATAATTTGAGGCCCAGGAGCGCGAGCCGGAATCCTTGTTTTCAACTTGCTTGCGTATTTTGGAAACCTTTGGTATACGGAAAACCACTTACAACGACACAATTATCTGGATATAATATTTGGAATAATACCTGTAATACTCTATAATACCTATAATATATAATACTTCGTACACGGTTCGGGAGAGTCAGCCCCCCTTGAGACGGAGCGATGGGGCGGGCCCGCTCAGCCGCGCCGGGCTATCGGGATGGAGGATGAAGGCATTATCCTTAATGACACACCTTCACCTTGGCCCCGCCCCGCGCCGCCACTCCCTCCATACAATGCTCGGCCGCCATAAAGCCGAACACAGCTTGTCGCGCTGTCTCTCTCGCACCCCGCCGAGACACCGCAAGTGCGAGAGAGCGAGAGAGAGAGAGAGAGAGAGAGAGAGAGAGAGAGAGAGAGAGAGAGAGAGAGAGAGAGAGAAACGCGCCTGTTTCGGAGCGCAGTCACCACCGCGGTGCACCGGCCTCGCGCGCCGTCAGTGTCAACACGGGCGGTGAAGAGCGAAACGAGACGAGAGAGAGAGAGAGAGAGAGAGAGAGAGAGAGAGAGGGAGAGAGAGAGAGAGAGAGAGAGAGAGAGGGAGAGAGAGAAGGACGCTCTGTTGGTTCCGTAAACGTGCCGCGCCGTGCGCTCCAATAAGGCAGTGTAGTGGCGCCCCGACGTGAGCTGACCAGAAAGAGGCGCCAGCGGGGCAGCGGCGCGTGGTCGCCGAGAAGGTCGCGTCGCGTCACGTCGCGGTGACGGGGACGACCGCCGCGCCACGCCGGGGCCGTTCAACCCGCCCGGCCCAAACTAGCCGCCGCTTGTGTTGGCGCGCGGTCCTGCCCGTCTTTTTCCGCGGTCCTTGGCGAGGGAGGCCGGGCAGGACGTGGCCGACGTGAGGCTGACGTCGCGCAGTGGATTGGCCAGAAGACCGGTGGGGGCGGCCCAAACTCTAGACGCCACGGCCACGGGTTCGAACCCGGTCAAGTCCAGGTAACTCTTTTTTAAAACGCGCTCAGCTCGGGCAACTTTTAATAGCCGTCACGTGAACTGCTGACATCCATTTAGCCTACACACACCTTATGCCGAGAGGCAGACACACAGCCAGGACACACACACACACACAAAATAATTATTCGGCCGCGGTGGCCGCTCTGACGGCAACGGCAAGTTAGTAAAGGACCCTCGTTGGACGCAAATACCGCACTCAGTGAGCCGCGCCTCGCCTCGCCGCGCCACCGGCTGATGGAGGAAACTTTTGTGCATAATCAAGTCCTTCTCATTTTCCTGACAAAGCAAAGCCAAGCGGGAACGGCGCTGCCAGGGGCAGCCAGCCGAGCGCCAAATGCGCGCCGGGACACACACACACACACTCACACACAACACACACACACACACACACACACACACTAACACACACACACACACACACTCACACACTCACACACTCACACACTCACGCGCTCACACACTCACACGCTCACACACACACGAGCACGCCTCGGTGACATCGAGGCAGGCTGGATTCAGCCGGAGGCGGGCGTTTCCTAGAAGCAGTTCCGTTCCTTTCCTCACAGCAGCTGCGTCCTCGATGAGGCCCCTTGCAGCGCACAGTGTGCCGGAAGACCGGTGGAGGAGGCCAGAGCTCTAAACACGTTTGGGCCCCAGAGTCGCTAAATGGGACTCGAACCGAACGTGTGACCCCACCAATGGATTCCTCGTTCGGAGAGCAATCCATTGGTGGGGTCACACGTTCGGTTCGACTCCCATTTAGCGACTCTGCTGCTCAAAACGCGTGCGGGGTTTTGACCGCCTCCACGGGTCTTCCGGCCCGCTGTGCAGCCAGGGCGCCGTCGGCGGTGCTTACCTGGTTGCCGAAGACGCCGATGGAGCACGCCGACGACACCTGCCCGGGGCCGAACCACACGGCGGCCAGGCGGGCGGGCACGTTGAGGATGAAGACCTGGGACACGGCCACGACGGTCTGGCCTAGGAAGGTGACCCAGTAGCGGTCGCGCGCCACGGAGAACACCTTGATCCAGGAGCCGGCGCAAGTTCCCAGCGCCGCGAGCACCAGCGCCCAGCGCAGGCCCTGCGGGAAGGACAACAGAACCAGTGTTACAGTGCTGTGAGCGTCGGTGCGACCGGGATGTGGGCCGCCTCCACCGGTCTTCTGGCCCACGGTGCGCCGCGCCCCTTTGGGGTCGGTGGCCGCGGGGCGGGGCGGGGCGGGGCGGGGCGGGCGGGCGGGTGCCCCGAGTGCCCCCGAGGGAGCCGTGACCTAGGCCACGGCCGGGGCGCGCGCCTCCCCACCACCGCGCCCAGACCGGCGGCCTTGACCCAGTGACCTTGACCCCGTCCCGCGCCGCGCTCGCTGCCAGCGTGCCGCCAGTGTGCTGCCAGTGTGCCGCCAGAACCCCGTTCCTCGTTCCTTGTTTCGGAGCTGTCTGCCCGGTTATTAAAGCGGCCCCGAACTCTTCCTTAATCCGAGCACTGCGGGCCCTGCGGGGACGGGGCGGGGACGGGGTGGGGGAACCGTGGTCGTTTTGGCGGCACGAATGCACGAATGGCCGCCATGATTGAACCGGCGCCAAAACCGGGCCAAAGCGATGGTCCACTAGTAACTCATGCTGCTGGGCGCGCGGGGGCGGGGCGGGGTGGGGTGGGGCGGGGCGGGGCGGGGCGGGGCGGGGCGTGATGCATAGGGACCTGCGAGCCGGTTCATGGCTCATGGTTCGTAATGAAATCCAACTAGGGCGGCAGCGGGGGCTGCGAGATTGAACCGTCGGCTTGAACCTGATAATGAAAAACGGCTGCCATGTCCATGTGGAAACGGGAGGGGAGGGGAGGGGGAGGGCTAACCGCGCACGTGCGTAAATCAAACGGGGCCACTCAATGCAGGGGCTGCTGGCTGGTGGCATGCTGCCCCGTGCTGCCCCGCCACCTTGTCTGCCAGCCCCGTCCGTCCGGCCTGGCGCTGCACAGTGGGCCAGAAGACCGGTGGAGGCGGCCAAAATCCCGGACGCGTTTTGAGCTGCAGAGTCGCTAAATGAGGCTCGAACCGAACGTGTGACGCCACTAATGGATTGCTCTCTAAACGAGGAATCCATTGGTGGGGTCACACGTTCGGTTCGAGTCCCATTTAGCGACTCTGGAGCTCAAAACGCGTCTGGAGTTTTGGCCGCCTCCACCGGTCTTCTGGCCCACCGTACGGCAGTAAGCCCTGCCGTGCAGCGCTTCCACGGCACTGCCACGGCTTGCCATGCGTAAACCCCGCGCCGGCGGGCTAATTCCCTTTCATCCAGCCGGGCCGTGTCATCCCACTGTAAAAGCAGTAAAAGGACGACCCTCCCCCACCCCTTGCCCATTTCACAGTGCGGTTCTCCTCCGAGCGATTTGTCACGCGGTGCCGCACCGCCCCTGGCGGCCCCTGGACCTCGTGGACTCCCAGCAGACTGACTTCGCCGCTCTGTCTCTCTCGCGCTCATACAGGGCGCCGCGTGTGGGCGCGAGAGAGACAGAGGACTCTGGGAATGAGTCTGCTGGACCTCCACCAAGCGCGTGTCTTTGTCGGGAAGACCGCCGCCGCCGCCTCCGCACCCACAGCCGGCCCGACGGTGTATGCCAGGTTCAGGTTGAGGGGGAGGGGGGGGGGGGGGGGGGGATCGCGAAGGGGCGTGCCCTGGCTGCGCCGTGGCTCTGCCGTGGTTCTGCCGTGCCGCGGGACTGCAGGCTTAGCTCGGCCATCCATTCCGCGGCCCAGAGATATGGACCCCGCGGCGCTCTGTCTGCTGGCGGTCTGTCTGGCTGAAAATCCACCTGTCTGCCACACCCAAAAAAAGTCGTTTCATGAACCAAGAAAAAGAAATTGCACCTGCAGCAAGAGAGAGAGAGAGTACTTGGAACGTCTTGAAGCGACTTTTGGGGTCCTTGTGCTTTGCAGTGCCCCCACCCCTTCGATTGGGAACGGGGGGGGGGGGGTGCGGCCGCCACGCCGACCCCAAAGACGAGGGGTTCCGCCCCGCCCCGCCCCGCCCCGCTCGTTTGGGGTGCATACCCCTGCAAGGGCACTGGCGGGACATTAAGGGGCCAGCTCATTGAATTTCAAGCATTGAATGTGGGCGGGGCCGTGGGGCCCAACGACCGAAAGGGGGGGGGGGGGCACCGTGCAGATAGCGGAAACGATGAAAAAGAGTGTCGACGCGGTCCGAATGAGCCGCGAGGTGCACTCGTCGAGGACCTTTCGGGCTATCAGGCGGACACCGCGTGGCGAGCCTCTGTCTCTCTCGCACCCACGCGCCGCGCGCCGCGAATGCAGCCTGAGGGGACGGGGGCACTGTAAGGCGAGGCGATAGCAGACGACAAAGACGACCACCTGACGCACAGGCTGACGCTCTGTCTCTCTCGCACCCGTGCGGGACGCCCCGCCCCGCCCCGCCCCGCCCCGCCCCGCCCCGCCCCGCCCCGCCCCGCCCCGCCCCGCCCCGCCCCGCCCCGCCCGCCGCCCCCCCCGCCCCGCCCCGCCCGCCCCGCCCCGCCCCGCCCCACCCCGCCCCGCCCCGCCCCGCCCCGCCCCGCCCCGCCCCGCCCCGCCCCGCCCCGCCCCGCGCGTGTGACAGAGACAGAGCGACGCTGCAGCGCGCAGGGCGGCCGGGCAGCCGGATTCACCCTCGGGCGGCAACAAGGGTGGCGGCGTCCGAAGGGGGGGGGGGGGCAGGTGTGCAGGACGGAGACAATGGGCCGAGTAAATGGGCACATTCTCCGCGAGAACGTGTCCTGTCCTGTCCTGTCCTGTCACTAAAAGGGCACGTCTGTCTTCCCTTCAAGGGCGCAGGGCAGCGCAGGGTGGACGCAGCACAGTGGGCCAGAAGACCGGCGGAGGCGGCCAAAACCCTAGACGCGTTTTGAGCTCCAGAGTCGCTAAATGGGACTCGAACCGAACGTGTGACCCCACCAATGGATTGCTCTCTGAACGAGCAATCCATTGATGGGGTCACACGTTCGGTTCGAGTCCTGTACAGCGACTCTGGAGCTCAAAACGCGTCTAGGGTTTCGGCCGCCTCCACCGGTCTTCTGGCCCACTGTGCGGAGGGCGCGGGAGGCTTGGGGCAGGTGGCCCTCCCTGCCGGTCCGACGACAGGATTTTGTTTCCTCACAGTGCACGCCAGGATCCGCGGAGGAAATGCAGAGAAGCTCGCGGAGAAGGATTCAGGAAAGGAGCGGGCTTACGGAGCTGGAGCTCCGAGCAAGAGGAAGATTCGGGAAGCAGGGAAACAAATTTGTGAGTTTGCAGGAATTTGCAAGTCAGCTGTTCCGCGCTCCGCTGCACGCCGGCCAATCGTCGCGCACTCCGTCTCACAGTGGGCCAGAAAACCGGTGGCAAATTCTGGCAAATCCACTGGGCCGAGACCCACCTTTTTGTCCAGGAGCCAGGAGCCGGGCAGGATGAGCGGGATGTAGGTGACCATGTAGATCATGGACGTCCAGTCCACGGCGAAGGCCTCCACGTTGTAGTAGCCCATGATGGCGTCGGAGATGATGGAGTACATGATCCACTGGAAGGCGGAAGTCATGGAGAGGGTGACGAACATGGCCAGCATGAGCCACCGCCGGCCGTAGACCTTGGTCTCCGACCCGGGCAGCGGGGTCAGCGTGTCATCCACCATCTTGGGGTGCTTGGGCCGGGGCCTTTCAGCTAGTGTAGTGGTTGACGCGCTGCGGACTCCTCAGGACTCCTCAGCAGGACGACGCGGGCGGCCGGGCCATGGCGATGTCTTGGAGCTCGCCCGCCACCTGCAGAACACACAACACAAAGCGGTTCATGTCCAGGCTCTCCGAACGGGGAATCGATTCCTCGCTATTCACCTCCAGCGAGAGCTAAAAATAAACGCGCCAAGTCTTAGAAAGTACACTGATTTCGGTCTCGGGTTCTCCGAAAAAATTAAATTCTCCGACGCCTCAACGCCCTCCACCGCCATTTCCGTAGATTATCAATTTCGACTTGAGTTTGTTTTCCCGTCTGCTAAAAATGCCGATTTATTGGAGTTGTTGTTGTTGCCCGGGAGATCGCTGGAATCGGGGCGAGCGATCAGATTTCGCACACGATTAAAGCGATACGCGCAGTGCCCTATGCGGGCTGCTGGGGAGAGAGGGAGGGAGGGAGAGAGAGAGAGAGAGACGAGGGAAGCCCCTTGGCGAGGCTGCCGCTCAAAGAAGGAATCGGGATGCGGCATGGTAACCTTGGCAGGGAAGTTGGTGCCGCCGCTCCAGTCATGGCACAGTGGGCCAGAAGACCCAAAATCCCGGACGCGTTTTGAGCTCCCGAGTCGCTAAACAAGGATTTGGGAGCTGAAAATGCATCTCGAATTTTGGCGCCTCCACCGGCGCTCGCAGGCAGTGCCTTCCACCTCTCTGCCCCCGGAGTGACGTAATTTATGAACGGGCTCAAGACTGGGCTGGGCGCGGCGGACGTGAGGCCAACATCTCGTACACACTCGGGCTGACACGCCGGGGCGGGGCGGGGCGGGGCGGGGCGGGGCGGGGCGGGGCAGCGCATCCACCCCTAGTTAGGCCGGGCCCGCCCCTTCGCTTTAATGAAAGCGATTCCCGCAGCGTGGGGCTGCGTCTCAAGGTCTGAGCCGCGGCCTGGCCCGCCCCAGCCTCAGTGGGCCAGAGGACCGCCGACGGCGGCCAAAACTCTAGACGCGTTTTGAGCGCCAGCGTCGCTTAACATGACTCGAACCGAACGTGTGACCCCACCAATGGCTTCCTCGTTCGGAGAGCAATCCATTGGTGGGGTCACACGTCCGGCTCGAGTTCCATTTAGCGACTCTGGGGCTCAAAACTCGTCCGGGGCTGAGACCGCCTTCTGGTCCACTGTGCTTGCTCCTCGTCGCGCCACCGGAGTGCGAGCGAGTGCGACAGAGACATACTGCTCCAGCCGCGCCGCGCGCAATGAGCTAAAAGGGTTATTCGTTAGCTCCCTCGCGCGGCCGCTGGCCCACTGCGACTGCACTGCCGGATGCATGCTGCACTACTGACCGGTGATAGTCTCACCACTATTCTGCCCTGTGTGTGTATGTGTTGGTGTGTGTGGGTGGGTGGGGCTAACCGCTCTCTCGCTCTGCGGACGGACGGTTGGAAAAAGAGCGAAGGAAAAAAAGGGCGCCACTGTGGCGGGATTCGAACCCGGGTCAGCCGCATTTGGACACGTTCCAGCACACGCCTGCCAGCCGAGCGGGACGGCGGGACGACGCGGGACAGCGGTTCAGTAGCTCACAGGGTTGCGCATGCCGCGAGCCGAGCCACCCTGGACCACCATCGAGCTAATTCACTCAGATCACTGACGGTCTCGGGTTCGAATACCCGATCGCGACATGCGTTTTTCTTCTTTTTTTCTCTCGTCGTCAACTGAGGTAACTCGCTTCGGAGTCACGTGGCCCCGTCCGAAATTTGGAAAGATTGAGATTCCTTGGCCGTTCCGCCAGATGGCGCTGCTGGCCGCCACGCCACTGCCAAAGCGTGGCCCCGCCTCGCCCCGCCTCGCCTTGCCCTGGCTATGGCACTCATATATTATCCCAAACTTCCACGCTTCCGCCTTGCAGGGCCTTGCAGGGCCTTCCAGGGCCTTGCAGGGCCCTGCAGGGGCCACCAATTCTTTTCTGCTATTTTTGGGCCGCGGCGTGCAGCGGGGTAGAAATGCCCGGGCGGTGTCCGAAGGGGGGGGGGGAGGTACACTGTGGCTTGTTGATTAAGGGTGACACCGAGTCGGCCTGAATATTCATCTTAACGGGGCCGCGGTCGTTGGCGGACCACTGTATGCTCTGCTCCGAGTCAGGCGCGTCTCTCTCTCTCTCTCTCTCTCTCTCTCTCTCTCTCTCTCTCTCTCTCTCTCTCTCTCTCTCTCTCTCCCCACTAAGTGCTCGATCACGCGGCACAGACCATGCAGAGCAGGGAGAGCAGGGAGGTGCTTCCAATTAGGAGAGCTACACTGTGGGAGAGCACGACGAGGAGTTTCGGTGCAGAGGCTGCCGTGAGCAGGGGTGGAAAATTTAAAAAAGACTGTCAATTTTAAATATTTAAAAAAAATTGGATTTAAAAAAATGTGGCACTCTGGCACTCTCTCTCGCTAAACTCTCCCCACACTCCAGCACTCCCAGTCACACTCCAGCACTCCAGCCACACTCCAGCCACACTCCAGCCACACTCCAGCCACACTCCAGCGCCCCAGCCGCCAGACCGGCGCACCGAACCGTGAGTTACGGCTTGCTTTAAAATGCACGCGCTGTCTCTGTCTGGCACCCTCGCACAATGCGTGTGCAGCCACAATGGGGCAGGGCGAAGCAAGCGAAGCAAGCACCGCCATTGTCCCAAAACACACGCGGAAGGAGGGCGGCAAGGAGAGGTGAGAGAGAGAGAGAGAGAGAGAGAGAGAGAGAGAGGAAAGCGAGGGTGGTTGAGTAGTTTGGGCGCCCTCGGGGACTCGGTGCACAGGTGCTGCCGTGGGCTGATTCCAGACAGTCGCTCTCTCTCTCTCTCTCTCTCTCTCTCTCTCTCTCTCTCTCTCTCTCTCTCTCTCTCTCTCTCTCTCTCTCTCTCTCTCTCTCTCTCTCTCCCTCTCGCTACCCCCACGGGCTGCCCCACGAGTGCGAGAGAGACGGACGAATGTTATTACTACCTTTGTGGAGACATTCAAATTTATCGCATCGAGACGTATCGCCGTGCGAGCGAGAGAGATGGATGCGGCGATTCGGGGCGGCGTCTTGCGAGCGGGAAAGAGGGAGGAGACTAAAGTTGCGAGGAATTGCAACACGCCGGTTCGCCGTCAAAACTGTGCCGTTAAACGGAAAAACAAAAATACGTCAAGCAACCGACTTGTCGAAGAGTCAGACCAAAAGAAGTGGCAATACCAGCGCCGTGCAGCACACTGTGCGCCGATCGTCGAGACTCCCTGATTGGCGCATGTCATTGCACGTGTTGCACACGACGGCCGAAAAAAAAACGTGTCGCTATCTAGCCTCACACATGCCTAGATAACCCGACTTTGTCACCACGGCCTGTCTCTCTTGCACTGCGACGCCCCCTGCGAGTGCGACGAGGACAGAGACAGTCCGCTTCGCCAAGATGGATCGCCGGCCGGCTCCAGTTTCCGTGTGGCGAGGCAGGCGAAGGCGCGCTCTAATGGCAACACCAAATGACCACCCCCAACCCGCTCGGTCCCTGCAGCCTCATGATAAGCAACGTGCGAAATAAGGAACTACCAACTTACACTATCACACAACGGCAGGCGGAGCAGGCGACACCGGAGGAGAACTAATCCTCCCCGGGAAGGGGCGCTGCTCCCCGGACTCGGGAATTTCGATCGAAAGTTGCAAGGGCACTCCGCCGACATTGCATCGTCAACTCGACACACTTTCGGTCGACCGCTATAAAATCGTGGACGCGTTTCGAGCTCCAGAGTCGCTGAATGGGACTCGAACCGAACGTGTGACCCCACCAATGGATTGCTCTCCGAACGAGCAATCCATTGGTGGGGTCACACGCTCGGTTCTAGCCCTGTTTAGCGACTCTGGAGCTCAAAACGCGGCTAGAGTTTTGGCCGCCTCCACCGGTCTTCCCGCCCACTGTACCACTGGTACCACTGCCGCCATCGGCGCACTGACTCGGCACGTATATTGCGCCAACTTTGGCGGCACTGGGCTGCGCCGTGGCCGCGCGCTGCGGCTATATTGCTCCAACTCGGCGTGCCAACCCAACCCTCCGCGCTGTAACCGCTTCACACCCGACGGCATTGTCACCCACTTCGGATAGTTTGCGAATTAAAAGAAAAAAAAAGGAACTTGGAAGGGAAATGGCAACAGCACGACCACTCGGGGGTCTTCACAGAAGTGTGCCGACCGGAAGTCAGCTGACGTACCTTCGGGGATGCTTGGTGATGCGGTCAGCACAAAATATATATATATCTCTCTCACACGCGGAGTCGCACACACACCGGTTCACTCCGCGCTCGAACGCGAACCCTCGCGACGCGGCGCACACTTTGTCGCTGGAGTGGCTCTGGAGTCAGTTACTCTGGAGTCAGTCACTCTGCACTGACCGGGCCGTACCGGGCCGCCGACGGGCCTATCTCTCCTCCCGATTCCTCCCTCTGGGGACCCTCTGGGGAGGGAGGGTCCTCAGGGAGGGGGTCGGTCAAGGTGGCGGAGGGGAGGGGGACCTCCACACCACGTGTTCGCGATGACACAGTCGGCCCCGCACGCCCGCAGCCGGCGGCCTCTCTGTCTCTCTCGCACCTACACGGCACGCCGCGTGAGTGCGAGAGAGACAGAGCGACGAAAACGACCCTCGGAATCAGTCCGCAGCGGGCCGCGGGCGCATCCGGTGCCTCATTGGCTAGAGCCTCGGGCGGAGCGGACAGCGGATCGGAGAGAGGATCAAAGGGAGGGGAACGGTGGGCAATCAAAGGAGAGGATCGCAAATAGAAAGTTACTGCACCGTAAAAAAAAAAACTAAAGAAAAAAAGTGCCTCCAATCTGCCGAAAAATTCCGAGCCCTCCGATGTTTCTATTTTGTATACCGCTGGGCAATGATGCACCATTCCCGCAGTGCGTTTCATGGAAAAAATTGACGACAAAAAGTGGCAATACGAAAGTCTCAAGGAGACCCGCCGATCAGCTTCGGTGTTCTTATGGGAACCGGGCCTTCATCCGACGCTCCCTGCCGCGCAATTCGACAGATTAGTGGGTTCGTATTGGGCTGGCCCACCCGAAGTGCGCGCGGTTTCTGTGGTACAGTGAGAGTCCAGATTCAGAGGCCTTACCTCAGAGGGGTCACATTGGGTATTTGAACCCGCGACCCCGAGTGCCGACTCTAGTCAACTCCTCTACCCTGACCGCTCAGCCACCGAACCAGCTTGTCAGCGGCGATGTCGCAACTCCTCTTGAGCTGCCGGGCGAGAAATCTGGTCCCGAAAAAATGGTACTTAGAGCGGTCTCGAACCCGGGACCTGCCGCTTCCCACACCTTGCTCTTAACCACTGAGCCACCGGGACGGCATGGCACCTGCCCTGCCTGCGCTGGTACTCAATCTTCTCTGGATATACCTCCCCTAGCAATTGGTCGCCGAAAAAATTGTGGATACTACCGGTCCCGAACCCGGGATCTGCCGCTTCCCACATCTTGCTCTTAACCACTGAGCCACCGGGACGCCGTGGCACCCGCCTTGCCTGCGCTGGTACTCAATCTTCTCTGGATGTACCTCCCCAAGAAATTGGTCGCCGAAAAAATTGTGTATACTACCGGTCCCGAACCCGAGACCTGCCGCTTCCCACATCATGCTCTTGACCACTGAGCCACCGGGACGCCATGGCACCCGCCCTGCCTGCGCTGGTACCCAATCATCTCTGGATATACCTACCAGCCCACTGTGCGGCCAGTCGTCGCTCCGTCTCTCTCGCACTGGCGTGGCGCTCCGCAGGGCGCGGTGCGAGAGAGACAGAGCGAGTCCAGGCCAGCGACCCCAATCAAGGCTACGGAACAGAACCTCCATTTGACGGAAGTCCGCCGTTCTGACGGCGGAGCGACAGCGAAGCTAGCCGAGATGGGACGGCCGGACCAGGCGATGCTACTGTTGCCAAGTTGTTCCAAAGTGTCCTCGACCGGCCATCGACTCGACTAGACTCGCAGTGCAGTGCCGCCTGGAGTGTGGCTGGAGCGGGCTGGAGCGCGCTGGAGTGGGAGGCAGTCAACTGGACCTGGGATAGATACTGCTGGAAAGAAGGGCTGGCAAGGGTCGGTGCGGCCCGAGGTCGGTCCGGCCGGGTCGGGGGCGGTGTCATGGTATACTGCCCCAAGTTGGACGAGCGGCGGAGCCGGTCCCGAGCCAAGCGGGGCCAAGCGGGGCCAAGCGGGGCCAAGCGCTATCTGGGCGGTCAGCGTCCACAGTCCGGCACTCCGCAAACGGACTGTACGGCGCCACCCCGGCACGGGCGCACAGTGGGCCAGAAGACCGGCGGACGCGGTCGAAAACCCGGACGCGTTTCGAGCTCCAGACTCGCTAAATGGGACGCGAACCGAACGTGTGACCCCACCAATGGATTCCTCGTTCCGAGAGCAATCCATTGGTGGGGTCACACGTTCGGTGAGTCCCATCCAGCGACTGTGGAGCTCAAAACGCGTCCGGGGTTTTGGCCGCCTCCACCGGTCTTCTGGCCCACTGTGGGGCGGTACGTACGGGCGGTGCGCGGTACAGGCCGTACACTCGAGAAGTATATATCAGCGCGCGAAGAATGGAGCGCGCAGTCGCCTATCTCCGTTCCGGTCACCCTCCCCACCACTTCCAGCAGCGCCCCCGGCGCCGTCCTGGCCCGTGTGTGAGTGCGTGTGCATGTGTGTGTGTGTGCGTGCGTGTGTGGCAGCAGCCGGCCCATCTACATAGGGATGACTTTCATATGAGGAGGGCGTCGTCGGCGAGCGGCGCGCGCTGCCACTGGGAGGCGCCGTACGGTGCTGGGTCGCCGCTTCGCCGCCACACTGATGGATTCTTGCCTCCGAAACCCCGAAGCCCGAAGCCCGCAACCTATTTCACTCGCAATCCGCCACGTCCCTCGGCCCCCTCAATCTCGTGTCGCACGCCCGATCCAACCAATTTCCATTTCCACTCTTTTCTCCGCGTCTCTCCATTTTTTCCGTCTCTCCTTTTCCATTGCGAGACCTTGGAAAGGCAAAGGCGATGTAGCCAACGCCGGTGTTGTTCAACTGATCTCGTTGTTCGACGGACCGGTTTTAAAGCTTTTCAAAATCATTGGACTCGAAGCGAACGTGTGACCCCACCAATGGACTGCTCTCCGAACGAGGAATCCATTGGTGGGGTCACACGTTCGGTTCGAGTCCCATTCAGCGACACTGAAGCTCAAAACGCGTCTGGAGTTTTGGCCGCCCCCACCGGTCTTCTGGTCCACTGTGGCTGGGGTTGGCAGCCCTTCCGACAGTGGTGCGCCGCGGGAGTTTTCGCCTACTCGTGTGGCAGCACTGGCGCACCGCAGGGCGCGCGAGTCGCGTCAAGTTGGCAGCCCTGCGCGCCGCGCCCCTCGCCTACGCCAACGGCGACCAATGGCAACTTGACGACAAGCAGATGGGGCTTCGTTTGCTCCAGTTCGCAAAGTCCGGCGAGTCCGCAAAAAAAAAACAAAAACTGGAAAACCAAAAGCGCTTTTCCGTTCTCCGAGATCCCAATCGTCATCGTGCGCGTCGCGCCGCTTTCGCGTCCTCCGCCGCAGCACTGCCGGGCAGCCCCAGTAGGCTCAGCCGGCCAGCGCGGAGTTCAGCCCACTTAACCTAAGCCGAGTTAGCGGCTCGGGGCTTGCGAGCGAGACAGAGAGAGACGACACACTGCAGGGCCAGCCGGGCCCGGAGAGCGCCTGGAGGATAGGCAGTCCCGTTGAACGGGCGCGCCCCGCGCCGCATGTGTTGCCTACCTCGCAGGCTGTCTCGCTCTCCCCCGCCCGAAACACTACTCACTCAGGGGGAGAGAGAGAGAGAGAGAGAGAGAGAGAGAGAGAGAGAGAGAGAGAGAGAGAGAGAGAGAGAGAGAGAGAGAGAGATGGGGCTGGCATTGGAGCCGCCCCCTTCATCAACGTTTCCTGTCATAAATCCAGTATCTGTCTGTCCTTGTCCCTCTCCCCGGCCAGGCCGGCCAGGCCCCGCTTCTCACGCCGATTAGGGCGAGGGCCCCGACCCCCCCCCCCCCCCCCCCCACCGGGTCAGGTCGTCAGGTCAGTGTGTGAGCGGGGGAGGGGCGACCCAGGACCAAGGCCAGCTGATAAACCAAGACAGAGAGAGAAAAAGGAAAAAAGCGGCCCGGAAGGGACACGAACCCCGGGCCGGTACGCCGCGACAGATTCACCTG